CCTAAAAACGTTAACTACTAATAGCCTATTGTTGACTGGAAGCCTTACTGATAACGTAAACAGTCAAGTACCACATATCTTGTATGCTATGTGTTAGATACTATCATCTTACAATGAAGTAAGCTGGAGAAAAGAAAATGTTACTAAGAGGGGCGCCTGGGTGGCTTAGTCGGTTAAGCGTCCGACTTTCGCTTGGGTCATGACCTCGCGGTTCGTGGGTTTGAGCCCCGCGTCGGGCTCTGTGCTGACAGCTCAGAGCCTGGAGCCTGTTTCAGTCTGTGACTCCCTCTCTCTCTGACCCTCCCCTGTTCACGCTGTCTCTCTCTCTCTCCTAGAAATAAATAAAACACTAAAAAAAAATTTAAAAAAAAAAAAAAAAAAAGAAAATGTTACTAAGAAAATCATTAGGAAGACAAAATAAATTTACAGGGCTGTACTGTATTTAAAAAAAAAAAATCCGCCTACAAGTGCATCTATGCAGTTCAAACCTCTGTAGCTCAATGGTCAACTGTATATTACACTTTTTTATCAGAAGATGAGGATTATGTACCCAAATGTCTTCTTTTCCTTATAACTTCTGGGAAACTCCGTTCCCAAGGACAGAGGCAGCTGTCCTTATTTGTCAGGCAGTACTGACACGTCTACTTCCTCATTCAGGTAAAGCCAAATGGTTCCGACCAGCTTGACCTCCCCTCACTAACAGCAAAGCTAAACTCTAGGCCTAAAGCATCATACATTATCCCAGTTTCTACTATGAATTTCATGTTTCAAGTCATATCCCAACTCTTTCTCCCTCTGGTAACTATGTGAGACACAGGCATGAATATCAAGCCCTACGGGTGCATCCTGGTCCATCAAGTAAGCGCCATGGCCTTGACTGATGGCTTCTCGGTATTCGCGGTGGGCTGCTTCCTTCTCTTTAACCTGGAAAAGATTATTTTCATACGAGTCATTAAACGAATAGTGATTTCAGACTTGAACAAGAAAAACTTCATCAATATTTATTAAAACCTATGCAAAACCAGAAAACTAAGAATTTAAGGTGAAATGGAACTTATATAAAGTGATCATTAAAATCTTATTCTTATCTAATAAGAATGTGAATCATAAAAGGCTAAAATGACGACGTTGGGACCAAAATATTTCAGAGTCAACAGTGAAAAAAAACATTTGATTGGGATGTTATGTTGAACAAAAATAATAAGTTAAAGCTTAAATTTAATAAAATAGGAGTTACTGCAATTGGGGGCTAATCCCTTAGAATAAAGAAAGAATGTATCACTTGCTACTTTTTTGGTACACCTTTTCTTACAACAACAGCCATCACCTCAGTTTGGCTGCTACCACAGGGTGCAGAGGGTCAGTTTTTTGCAAAACTATATAAGGGCTTCACCAGTTTTCCAGCGTGCCTCTCTCAATCTTTTGATAATGAAATTGATCTTTTCCGAAGTGCTGGGCAAAGAATCTGCAAGGCACTGACTGACGAACACTGGACGGGCAGGAACAGAAACCAGTGAACCAGGGAGGGACACCTGGGTGGAGGCCAGCTGTCTAAGTGCTTGCTTCTTCAAAGATTAATTCTGCCTTACGATAAGGCTGCTATTCAACCCTATAGCTATGGGAACTCAGGTGAGAGATCTGAGTAAATGGGAAACTGACTTTGAAACCAAAGAGCGATCACAGCTCATTTTCTCCCCTTACCTCTCCTACTATGTGCTTCCCATTGATGAATGCTTCAAAACCACAGACAGCTGCCTTATCATCCAAAGGGAAAATGTATTTTGCCTCAATGGGCACATGACTTTGATTGGTGTATGTCTGAAAAACAACGACCTGAAGAAAAAAAAAAAACCCATATACTTGATGAAACAACATTTGCAAGAACAACTATTAATGAAAACTACGATGTATATTTTCTTTAAATTCCTTGAATTTTTATCATATCCCTCAACTTCCCAACCCTGGCTTCAGGGGTTAGAACATTCTAGGATTGCAATGTGGAGTCCCTGTCGCAGTATAAAGCGTATTAGCTACATCGTTAGGTACTTCATACACACATGCTGGAATAAAAGTCACTAGTATTACAATACTGCAAACTGGTTAACAGAAGCAACGCAACTTTCGTGAAGGCCACGACAGAACAGTCCCGCTACGTGTGGGTCTTGATCCCTCCTTGGCGTCACATGGGACAGACACTCTTCCAGAAGAGTTCGTATATCTGGTCTGTTTCCAGGTCTTGGCGTTTCTTCCTTTACCTCTCTGTGCACAGACCTCCGTGGGTTTTCTCATTATACTCATCTCTTCCTGCCTAGTTGACTCCTGAATCAACTCTTTTCCACTCCTATATGCTGTCACTAGTTCTATCTGATTAATCTTACTAACTGGACTCTTTATCACATCACTCCCTTGCTTAAGAAAAGTCCAGTCTTTATGTTTTCTTTCATAGCTTATTGTCAAGTTGGTTTCCATACAACACCCAGTGCTCATCCCCACAAGTGCCCTCCTCCATGCCCCTCCCCCCCTCCCCCCACCCCCACTCCCATCAGCCCTCTGTTTGTTCTCAGCATTCAAGAGTCTCTCATGGTTTGCCTCCCTCCCTCTCCCCCACTATTTTTCCCCTTCTCCTCCCCTGTGGTCCTCCGTTAAGTTCCTCCTGTTCCACTTGTAAGTGAAAACATATGGTATCTGTCCTTCTCTGCCTGACTTATTTCGCTCAGCATAACACCCTCAAGGTCCATCCATGTTGCTACAAATGAAAAAGCCAGTCTTTAAACATTTGAAAATTAAACAAAACCATCTAGACATATAATAAACAGTAACATTTAAACATATGGCAATAATAAGGAGAAAATACTTAAACATTTGTCATCAATCATCTCTGGGAAGAGACTGAAATGAAAATTAAAAGAATAGGGGCGCCTGGGTGGCTTAGTCGGTTAAGCGTCCGACTTTCGCTCAGGTCATGATCTCACGGTTCGTGGGTTCAAGCCCCGCGTCGGGCTCTGTGCTGACTGCCAGCTCAGAGCCTGGAGCCTGTTTCAGTCTGTGACTCCCTCTCTCTCTGACCCTCCCCTGCTCACGCTGTCTCTCTCTCTCTCTCCTAGAAATAAATAAAACATTAAAAAAAAAAAATTTAAAAAAAAAAAAAAAAGAAAATTAAAAGAATAAAGGCGGGGCGTCTGAGTGTCTCAGTCGGTTACGTGTCTGACTCCTGATCTCAGCTCAGGTCATGACCTCACGGTTCATGAGATGGAGCCCTTCTTCAGGCTCTGCGCTGACAGTGTGGAGCCTGCTTGGGATTCTGTCTCCCTCTCTCTCTGCCCCTCCCCTGCTTGCTCTCTTTCTCTCTCAAAATAAATAACGTAAAACAAAAGAGAATAAAGGTTATGAACTTATACAAAAAGCCATCCACAACTGGATTTACAGTAAACTGGGCTGCCCCCAGCGTATGTTCTGCACCAGAGAAAAAAGTTTTAAGGCACATGTATTTAAAAACGAATTTGACTTTCTCCACATCAGCAGGTCAGCACCCTCCAGGATACCTGATCTCACAATTCTTCAAGCAAAGGCCTCGCCAGCTGGTGGCAGCCTCCTGCTCCCCAGGCAGCTACCCTGGGACGGGGAAGGGGGGGGGGAGCCACAAAGGATTGGGTCCTAGGGTTTCTTGGGGGTCGGCTGACTGGGCCATTCTAGAAGTTCAGAGAGCACCTGGCAGAGAGCCAGGACGCGCCCGTGCACGGCACCCCTTTCCCCCCAGCGCACTGATGCTGCACCTGTGACTGGTGGGCAGGGCCCCTGTCTAACTGTACGCCGCGCAGGGTTAACGCTTCTCCCTCCTCTGCGCATGTCCTGCCCGCGTCTAGTTAGCAGGTCTGTCTGCATAGGAGCTCCGGGGTCAGGCCTACGTCAGCTTCACTCTCTGCAATCGTGTGACCGGGCACTCAGAGAGCAAGGGATATCTCACAATGATCATAAGAGTATTTTTACCAGGTCTCAGAAGAGAAACAAATACACTGTGCTGATTTTTGACATCTTAATGTTCCTCCTGCAGATGAAACTACTATTTTAGTTTTGTTATTAACCTAAAAACATTAAACTCATTCTAAGAGTCAAATAAGTGAGCCGTGAATATACAAGTCCCTGCTGCTGGGCCTCTGTTTGGATATTCAGAGTCAACCTACAGGCCAGCAGTCTAATCACAAATTAGTGGAAAATTCACTGCTAAATCAGGAATTATTGGCAGGGGCGCCTGGGTGGCTCAGTCAGTTAAGCGTCCGACTTCGGCTCAGGTCTTGATCTCATGGTTCATGGGTTCGGGCCCCACCTCAGGCTCTGTGCTGACAGTTGGCTCAGAGCCTGGAGCCTGCTTCAGATTCTGTGTCTCCCTCTCTCTCTGACCCTCCCCTGCTCATGCTATCTCTCTCTCTCTCAGAAATAAATAAAACATTTTTTAAAAAAGGAGTTATTGGGCAAACTTCCCCATGGAAAATCTTCATCAGGTTTAAAATATGAAATGACAATAACCAAAACATGGAAAGAGCCTACGTGTCCATCAACGGACAAATGGATCAAGAAGATGTGGTTTATCTATACAATGGGACACTACATGGCAATGAGAAAGCGTGAAATGAACAAATTTTAGAAATGCATGTTTTGGGCACCTGGGTGGCTCAACTGATTGAGCCTCTGACTCTTGATTTCAGCTCAGGTCATGATCTCACAGTTGTGAGATGGAGCCCCACACTGGGGCTCAGAGTGGAGCCTGCTTGGGAATCTCTCTCTCTCCCTCTCTCTCTGCCTCTCCTCCACTTGTTCAAGTCTCTCTCTCTCTCAAAATAAATAAACATAAAAAATGCACATGTTAATTCACGCAACTATAATCAAATTGTCATTGATGTCTTATATCTATTGAAAGTATCAAAAAGTATTTAAAACCACAAAGAACATACCTGGGCTACAAAGTCTATTATTTTTCCTTTGATGTGAACATCCTCAAGAGGAACTGAATTGCCACAGAAATCCTGAAGGCCGGACTTGATGTTGCTGAAAGGTTTGGCATCTTGTAGCTGATAATCTACATATTAAAACGATAATGTTAGCTTTTAAAACCATCCCTGCACTGTCTATCTTTGTTATCTTAATCTTTATTTGTTTCCCTTCCCTTTACACATTATATTTTAAAGGGAAAAATGGACAAGTAGCATTTTATGATCTTCAATAGTCAATTCTATAAAGTAAGTGAACCCACATGAGAAAAATGGGGGGAGCATTTGTAACAGACACATGACCTTTTTAATCTAGAGATTCTGATGACTCATCTTGAAAATTTAGAGTCATGCAATTACTTGAAAGGCATCCATTTAAACACATACACAAGTACAGAAAAGTCTTAGGAATACTTAAATAAGTGTAGTTTATGCATGAATCTAGATATGTGCATCCCTGGCCCGTAATTTTGATTGGTCAGTCATTATTATTTTTTGTGCCACAAAAGTGTGTAAGACCAATATGAGACTCCATAGACATTCACTCCAAGGGACACTAAATCAAAATTTTCTTTTTAATTTTCTTTTTAATGAAAGAAAAGCTGGGAGAGAGAGGCACAGAATCTGAAGCAGGCTCCAGGCTCTGAGCTGTCAGCACAGAGCCCGACACAGGGCTCGAACCCATGAACCGTGAGATCATGACCTGAGCCGAAGTCGGACGCTTAACCGACTGAGCCACTCAGGCGCCCCTCAAACTTCTAATATAACATATGGTATACTTTCTATACCAGATGGTACAAAAATACACATACAGTTAGATATGTAAATATATACGCTCTTGCCAGACATTTAATTTAATGGCTCCAGGAGAGAAAAGCAGTGTTACTTTCTTACACATGAAAACATATATTTCTGATAAAAAATAATTTTATCACAGTTAAAAATGTTAATGTGTTTTTATAATGCAATTAATAAATGTTATAATAGTTTGGGCTTATGATTTCCTGAGAAGCTACCATCCTATCATATATTTCTACTACTAACATATAAGCTGCACATTACAATTCTGGGGAGTGCCTTCACTTAATGCAGATATTGACCTCATATGCAACATAGAAAAGCTGAGGCTGGGGGCGCCTGGGTGGCTCAGTCGGTTAAGCATCCAACTTCAGCTCAGGTCATGATCTTGCGGTTCGTGAGTTCGAGCCCCGCATCAGGCTCTGTGCTGACAGCTTGTAGCCTGGAGCCTGTTTCGGATTATGTGTCTCCCTCTCTTTCTGCCCCTCCCCTGCTCACGCTCTATCTCTGTCTCTCTCTCTCTCAAAAATGAATAAACTTGAAAGAAAGAAAGAAAGAAAAGCTGAGGCTGAAAGAGCTACACAGTCTGTCCCATTTTGCACAGCCTAGTAATTAGCAAGTTGACAATCAGGGCTCCTGGGTGCCTGAGCTGGTTAAGCAAGCTGACAATGAACCTGAGCTTCCTGGTTCTAAAGCTGTGCTTTCTGCCTGCTCCACCAACCCCGTCACACTTCTTAGACTCGGACATCTTAAATTGCTTCTGTGAGTTTGTGGAATTGGCTCAACCTAGGTATGTTAACAAAGTAACAAGTAATTTTGAGAACACTTAACCTCTCTCAAGTATCCTGGTTTTTATTTTTACAAGGTAAAAAGGGAAACAGATGGGGCGCCTTGGTAACTCGGTTGACTGAGAGTCTGACTTTGTCTCAGGTCATGATCTCACAGTTTGTGGATTCGAGCCCCGCATCAGGCTCTGTGCTGACAGCTCGGAGCCTCGAGCCTGCTTCTGGATTCTCCTTCTCTCTCTGGTCCTCCCCTACTTGTGCTCTGTCTCTGTCTCTCAAAAATAAATAAATGTAAAAAAAAAATTTTTTTAAACAGAAATAGAATGTTTATGTATAAAGTCATAGATACAGTTACCGAACATGAACATTCATTCCTCTAAGAATAAAATGGTTGAGTTCTATAAATATCACATAAAACAGTATTCCAGAAAACTGTCTTACCTTCAACCTTTGAAAAATTTGAAACCGTAGGTCTGTATTCTTCTAATTCAGTAGTATTACAAGGGTGAAAGTCCTTTATTTCATCTCCAGGTATGCAAAACTTAATAATGTATTTCAATTTAATCTGATTGGTTTTATATACAACAAATTCATCGTCCTAGAACCAACAGAAATTAATAGGTGTGGGGAAAAATCCTTTACTGGCAAATGTTTTCACAAAAGCAGAATTGCAGGTTTCCTAATTCAGAAAATATTGAATTCAGGCAGCCATAGATATGCAATAATTATTTAAACGTAAGCATATTCAAAAAAAACAGGAGCCTTTCTGCTCGTTTCCTGAAATAACTACCTCGAAGTCCGTGGTGACCGTGGGTGTAGCTCGAACCCCATGGACACTGTCATAACCTGACGGTGCTTCTGACAAGGAGAAGTCTCTTCTGTGGAAGTCCGCGCACTTTCCAAGGGCTACGTCACAGACAGCCAGGAGCCGGGTGCCGTCCGTCTCTCCCGGGTGGGAGTACTTCACACCCGTACTGCGAGGGAGAGGAAGCGCGTGCTTGTGACTTACGGTTACACGGCAAAGGCAGTTTAGTGTCTGTTATCCATCTCTACGTGTGAAATACTGTCTAAACGACTTTGCCGGAAGAATGCTCCAGATTTTACTGCTATTAAAATTTAGAACTTTATTAGTCACTTCTTTGTTTAAAACTTTAATGTGAAAAACACAGATGTTGCCTTTCTGTTCTGCTTGAGGTACTTTCTCCCAGGGATGGATGAATTCCACTGCTGCCTCAAGTCTTTACTAACGACTAAAACACACGCATTTTGGTGCAGCAAACACCAAAGCGATGAAAGGTAAGGAAGCCTTCCCACCTTGCTAATTAAGACAAAGTAGACGGCTTCCCTGCACTGAAGCTCAGAGAGAACACGAAATGCCACATAAGTAAGAACTGGTCAAAGGGAAAGACAGCACTTGCATTCTCACAAGCCCTTCTGAATCCAGATGGAGAAACAAAAATTTCAAACGACATCTAAACGAGAGATTTTGTTTAGACTTTCTTCAGGATTCAGCAGCTTTAAAAAAGCAACCTTTCTCTCTGCCTTTCCCATGCTCACTGTCCCTCAAATAAATAAACTTAAAAAAAAAGAGCAACTTCTGTTATTAAGGAGCATAGTCTAGGACACCTCTGGAAGCAACACGTTTGGGACATACCTCTATTTTTCCAAATATCGAGACCCAAATACAAAAGTGTTGCCTGACAACACTTTGTTCTATCTCCTGAGACTGGACTCCCCCCTCTTTTCTGAGAGAGAGAGATTGAGAGCACGAACATGCACAAGCAGGGGAGGGGCAGAAGGTGAGGGAGAGAGGGAGTCTCAAGCAGGCTCCAAGCTCAGTGGGGAGCCCGACATGGGGCTCAATCCCATGACTGTGAGATCATGACCCCACCCGAAATTAAGAGTCAGACACCCAACTGACTCGGCCACCCAAGCCCCCTAAGATTTGCTCCCTTTTATTTAAAATTTTAAAAAATTTTTATATTTCCAAAATATTTTATTCTATTTATTTATTCATTTTTAATGTTTGTTTATTTTTGAAAGAGACAGACAGAGTGTTAGTGGGGGAGGGTCAGAGAGAGAGGGAGACACAGAATCCTAAGTGGGCTCCAGGCTCTGGAGCTGTCAGCACAGAGCCTGATGTGGGGTTCAAGCTCATGAACCATGAGATCGTGACCTGAGCTGAAGTCAGATGCTTAACCAACTGAGCCACCCAGGCGCCCCTAAAAATATTTTAAGTAATCTTTATTTAAAAAAAAATTTTTTTTTAATGTTTTATTTATTTCTAGGAGAGAGAGAGAGAGAGACAGCGTGAGCAGGGGAGGGTCAGAGAGAGAGGGAGTCACAGACTCTGAAACAGGCTCCAGGCTCTGAGCTGGCAGTCAGCACAGAGCCCGACGCGGGGCTCGAACCCACGAACCGCGAGATCATGACCTAAGTGAAAGTCGGACGCTTAACCTACTAAGCCACCCAGGCGCCCCTAAGTAATCTTTACACCCAACACGGGGCTCGAACTTACAACCCAGAGATGAAGAGCTTCCTGCTCCACCGACTGGGCCAGCCAGGTGTCCCAAGGCTTGCCCCCTTAAAAAAAAAAAAAAGATTAGTTCCCCCTTTTCTCCTAAAACTTGTTTCCCTGTGCCTGCTGAGCCTGTGACCTTGACTTTACCTCAGCTTCCTCCGTCTCCATCCCGGCCTTTCTCTATGGCTGCCTCTACTGCTTGCCTGCCCATCACCCCTCAGCCTGTTGCAGTCTGCCTCATCCGACACCACTCTGTCCAGTCACCAAGGACTTCAACTTGGTTAAATTCAACAGAATCCCAAATTATTAGAAAAAAATCTTAACCTCTAAAAAATTTTACTTTCAAATATTTTGTACTGAGGAAACAGCATTTATACCAGACGTGTTAAGTTTCAAGAACAATGATAAGACAACCAACCACATAGCTACTGCCAAGTAGAAAAGAACACAGGTGCCTGGGTGGCTCAGTTGGTTAAGCATCCGACTTTAGCTCAGGTCATGATCTCATGGTCAGTGAGTTCAAGCCCTGCTGTGGGCTCTCTGTAGTCACCGTGAGCCAGCTTAGGATCCACTGTCTCCCTTTCTCTCTACCCTTCTCCTGCAAATGTATGCGTGTGTGCCCTCTCTCTCTCAAAAATAAACATTAAAAAAAAAGAAATAGAAAAGAACATCATCAATATTTCTATGTTGCCCTGTGGCATTACCTTCCCTGCCACCCAGAGGGTAATCTAATCGCTATCTTGTGTTTCCGTGTATATTATTTTCTCTTTCTTTTATAGTGTTGATCATAGATATGTGTCCCTCAACAATATGCTTAGCTTTGCTTGTTTTCATATTTGCATACATACAGAATCATAGAGCAAGTTTTTGCTCCACATTACGTTCCTAAGACTCACCGACATGGTGTGTGTGGCTGTGGTTCACTTGTATAAACTGCCACCTAGGACTCCACCAAAACGTTTGGATCCGTTCCACTGTTACGGGGCACCTGCATCATTTCCACGGCTCTTACGGTTTTCTGAGCCATTCATGTTCTTGTCAGTGATTCTCAACCCAGGCTGAATCATCCAGGGAGCTTAGAAACTACTGACACCCAAACCTTAACCTGAAAGGTCCTGATTTAACTGATCTGGGCTGAAATCTGCACCAGTCATGCTTAAAAGCTCCTCAGGTGGGGAGGTGGTGGGGGGATGGGTGAAATAGGTGATGGGGATTAAGGAGGGCACTTGTGATGAGCGCTGGGTATCGCACAGAAGTGTAGAATCACTAAATTGTACATCTGAACGAAATGTTATATGGTATGTTAACTAGCTGGAATAGGAATAAAAACTTTAAAAGAAAGTCCTTCAAGTAAAAAAGATAAACGTAAAAAAAATCTCCAGGTGACTCGAATGTGCAGCCAGGATTGAGAGCCACCGCTCCCTGGTTCTGAGTCCGATCTATAGGGTCCCTAAGTCACACCATTAACTATGCTCTTCAGCTACAGCAGACGATGCCAACATTTTCTCAAGAGGGCTTATCAGTTTATCAACAGGGTCTGAGAGTGCAGGCTGTTGTAGAGACTTACCAACATCCAGACATGTTACTTTTTCTTTTTTTCTTTTTTTTTTTTTTTTTTTGCTGATAGGCATTAAACGGTATATTATAGTTTAATTTGCATATTCTTGATTAGTAATCTTTTCAAATGACATTGTCCATGTGTTTCCTCTTATTAGGTTCTTATTCATGTCTTTTGTCCATTTGCTTTTTATTTATTTATTTTTTTTTCTTACTGATTTGTAGGAATTCCTTAAATATCCTGGATAATTAATTATCCTGGGCCTAAAACCAAGTTCCATCATTTAACTATCTCTGTGACTTTATGCAAGTTACTTAACCTCCATCAGTCTGTTTCCTTTTCATAAAATGATGTCACAATACCACTTGTGAGGTTTGTAGACAATGTTCTGGTGCCATGCACAGGGCAGGTGGTTCAATACCTTGCGGCTACTTTGGGGACAGATTTAAATGTTAACAAGGATATTGAAGATGAAATATTATTGAACGAGTTCATTTATAATAGGTAAGATATAATTTATCTTAAGTTATATCTTAAGTAATAGATAAGTTGTTTGTGTATATAATGTGTATAAGCACATGAGAGGTCATGTGCTATACAAGTTAAGATCATGGCCCTGGAGAAAGACAAAATGTTGTGTGACCTTAGGCAAGATACCCTCACTGTCCGTCAGTGTTCTCATCTGTGATATGGGGTAATAACAGAACTGACCTAAGAGGGTTGTTGTAAGGATTAAGTGGGTAAATATATGTAAAGATTCTCAGGATCATAAAATTACTAAGGTGCTTTAAAATAAAATTTTCCCAAATATCCATCACAAAAGACATATTTATATAGTATACTAAGAAAACTGGTCGCTTTCAGTGATCTGTTTCTTGGGTGAGGAATCCCTCACCAAGGAAAGATGGGAGGAAACCACATAGCAACTACTTGCTTATAAATCCCTGGTGATGGGTGTGAGTAGCATGATTAAGGATATCCTCTATAGTATACATAATATACTAACCTGAGTGAATCGCTGAAATATATCCCACTCCCAAGATTTCCGATGTCTGTTCTCTTTGTGCCACGATCTTCAACTACTTTGGGTAAAAGCAACCCACTAAAAAGAAAAGGAAATTACAATGATTTACTAAAAGAAAGGTACCTTTTATTATAGCCTCATAATTCCAGCAAAGACAAGTGCTATTAAAGGAGGACATGATGCTAAGTGAAATAAGCCAGACACAGAAAGAGAAATACTGCCTAACCTCACATTTATGTGGAATCTAGTGTTCTCACCACAGGAAAAAAAGATAACTATATGAAGTGATAGATGTGTTGATCAACTTGATTGTGATAATCATTTCACAACGTACATGTACATTAAATCATCAAGCTATGTGTTTTAAAAAATCACCTTGTGGGGCACCTGGGTGGCTCAGTCGGTTAAGTATCCGACTTCGGCTCAGGTCATGATCTCACGGTTCGTGGGTTCGAGCCCCGCGTCAGGCTCTGTGCTGATGGACAGCTCAGAGCCTGGAGCCTGTTTCAGATTCTGTGTCTCCCTCTCTCTCTGACCCTCCCCTGCTCATGCTGTCTCTCTCTCCCTCTCTCTGTCTCTCTCTCAGAAATAAAAACATTTAAAAAATAAATAAATAAATAAAAATAAATAAAAAATCACCTTGTACAACCTTAAATATATACAATTCTCACTCGTTGATCACACCTTAATAAAACTGGAAAAAAATACACCAGTTAAAAAGACAACAAATAAATAAATAAACAGCGAGCATGAAATGAAAAGAAAAATCTATTTCAAAGTAATCCCACAGAAGGATTTCTAGGTGCTATTCAAACGTACCAATCCATGGCCAGTTTCTCGGCACGGTCTTGACCAGTCCTGAGACGCTGGCCATTTTCCTGCCATGGGTCGGGTCGGGGCTCTGCCTCCTGCTTGCCGAGGCCACCACTCCGCAGAACCCTGTGTAAGTCCAGTGCCGCCTGCGTTTCTCCCTGGCTTAAGAACTTACCCAGGTTCCTACTGGACTTCTAGCATTGCTAAGAACTCTCTGTGATCAAAGTTAAACCATGTTTATCTCTGAGAAGGTGGGTAAAGGGAGACTTCTGTGTTTACTACAGAAACATCTACAGTTTGAATTTTGTATTATGAAATGTAATTATCTTTGTAAAATGGTTTTTGGGGTTTAGTCCTACTTAAAAGCTAATTTAGAAAAATGTCCTATATTTCAATGGGTATCTTTGTATTTTCATTTTTAATTTTTAAGCCTTTGTTTCACGTGGAGTGAAGTGTGAGGAATGAGGTAAGGATCCAACTTTGTACTTTTCCAGGTAGTAATCTGTCCCAGTACCTAGTATTGAAGAAATTATCTTTCTCCTACAGAAATAAAAGCTGCTTTGGTCATATACTAAGCCCTCTACGTTTTTGCATTTACGTTTGGATTCTTTATTCTATAGATTCATCTATTTGGGCATACCTCAATAGTTTAATTAACACAGCTTTATAACATGTTTTTAGTGTCTGACTGGTTAATTCCTCTTCATTAATCTTCTTTTTCAAAATTATCCTTGTAAAGTCAGATTTTAAAAAATATGTGCAGTATCATCAGCTTTTTATTTCTTAAAAAAAATCTTGTTAGCACTTTTATTGTGATACCTCTAAATTTATAGGTTATTCAAGGAAAGTTGGCATCCTTTTGATTAGTGCAAGTGTCTTTTGGGTCCTTCAACAGCAGTTGAATGTTTTTTCTAGATGTATCCTGTATATGTCCTTTTAAGTTTCTTCTTAGGTGTTTAATTAAGGACCCAGATGTAATCACATCTCCCTGCTCTCTGTGACTGTAGTTTGGCTCTAATATTAAGTGATAATTCAAAGCAAATAGAAAATTAGAGTTATGTTTTGAACAGATAACTCATAGCATCTAGGTACTCTAATTTCTAGACCTTTCTCTCTAAGTATTGGATGTTTCCTAGATTAGACACACAGAAGAGCCATGGAATAGAGAATCTCCTTTCTTCATATGCTGCCATCTTCAAGAAGCAGTTCATACCCATGTACTACACTTTAAAATATATATAATAAATAAATAATTTAAATTATATTTAATTATAATTTAAAGGGTTCTGTTTTCTCTGGAATGCAGTTAAGCTGATTTTAACTGAGAAGACCCAGGTAGTGTATAAAAAAGGTTAGGAGAAAAGGTAAAACACTTCATGTTCGTGAGGCTCAAACATATGGAAAATCAAGATGGTGTCCTCTTACCGGGACAGGATTCCTACAAAGCTTCGTACGGGAGATCCATGCAGCAAGGGCTTCACGTTGCCAAGCTGGCTCAAAAACTCTGTGGCTTCATTCACTCTGCCAACCCTGAATATCTGCAAGATGTCCACTGGACCTTCACTGTAAAAAGTAGAAGAAAAATCTTGAGGTTGCATAATCGAAAGCAAAATAAAATATCATCACTAGCGGGAGAAAACCAAAACAGCCCAAATGTCCATTATTATGGAATGGATTCCATGAGTCACAACATAACAATTCTCGGAAATACTATGTAGCCATTAAAAATCACACTCTTAGAAAATAAATAAGGATAAGAAGTAAGACTTGTAGTAAAATAAATTTTAAAAATAGGTTACAAAACTTTACACATGCTATGATCCCAAATTTTGACAACTATATAATGTATAGAATATATAGCTTGAATTCATCGCACTGATTCACTCAACAAACACACTCTGTGCTGAGTATTCTGCCAGGCACTAGAAATGAGGATACATGGTCTCTGGCTTCATGGGGCTTACATCCTAATGGTGAGACAAAAATTAAAAGTTAACAAATAACTGATTTTAAGTTCTACTCTACCAGGTTCAGAGATGGGATGGTCAAGAAAGGCCTATCCTTGAAGGTGACATTTACTGCAACATGGCATAATGTAGTGAGTATTCTAAGACCTAACTGGCTGCTATGGGAAAGGAAACTGGATGGGGCAGGAGCGGGAAGAAGGTCAGGAAGGAGACGAGAGGGCGGCGTCTGGACTGAAGGCGGCAGAAGTGCAAATGAAGGAAGCCAATGGATTACAGAGCTTTTGCAGGCGGAAGTGACAGGGCATGGCAACGTGGGGATGACGAAGAGCTGACAAACTCTCTGCGTGGGTGACTAGGATGGGAGGCACGGGGAAAGACTGGGGGACTACGGAGAGACAGAGTTGTGGGGTGGAGGAGATAAGAGAGCCTCTCGAGTATGTCTTCCCAACTCCACGTTTCTTGGCGTCACATTGGTAGCTTGGGATTACCTATGGTGGGAGCATTTGTCCCACAGAAATCAGCGGTTATTACAAGTCAGGACTTTTATTTTGGAGAGCTGGCCTACCAGCACACCACTAGCCTAAGAGAATCAGTAACTCAATTTGGGATATATTTATTCTACACCCAAATGTCAACAGTGGTCATATTATCTCTGGGTTATGTCTCGGTGGCGAGATTTGGGGTGATCTTTAGTTTTCTTCATGTTTTCACACATTGTCTAAACTTTCAGCAAGGAACATGAGTTTTATAACTAGAAAAAATTAATATGAGAAAAACCATTAGTGAAATAAAATGGAGAAAATCTTCTTCTCCTTCTTGTCCTGCTTCTGCTGCTTCTCCTGCTTCTGCGGTTTCTTCTGCTTCTTCACAGCAGCAGAATGTCTCCATCCGGAGAGGTCCACTTCCGTTGTATGACGTTACTAGGGTGTGAGGTGAGATCGCTAAGGGCTTGAGTTACATTAGATGACTGAACTGCACTCCCTTCCCCGGGGCTTGAAGACATGGCTCTTTCTTCTCTTTGACTCTCTGGAGAAAGTCAGTTACTCTCCTCCTCATTCTGCCTTCATTGCTACTAGTTTCTAAATTAATATTAGATCTTAGCAGATGCCTAGGGGTGGGGTCAAAAGTCAAATCAAAAGACATAAAAATAATTTGATTATATATAAAAGCAAAATCTGGAAAAGATCTACAGCAAAGGCATTTTTTAAATTAACACAAAAGTCACGCAACACAAAATTCACCATTTTGAACTATACGGTTCAGTAGTGTTTAGCATATTAAAATGTGCGACCGCCACTTCTATTGGTTAGTCCCCATTCTTCCCTCTCCTGGAACCAGGCAATTTGCTTCCTGTCTTCACGGATTCGATTGATCTATTCCAGATGTTGCATATAAACGAAATCATATAATATGTGATCTTTTGTGCCTGGCTTCTTTCACTTAGCATAATGCTTTTGAGAGTCACTCATTTTGTAACATGTATTAGTACTTCATTCCTTTTTTGGTGATTAATATTCCGTTTTATGTATATACCACATTTTGTAAATCCATTCAACCACTGATGGACATTTGGGTTGTTTCCACCATTTGGCTCTTGTGAATAGTGCTGCTATGAACATTCATGTATCGGTATCTGTCTGAGTACTTGTTTTCAGTTCTTTGGGGTATATAACAAGGAGTGGAATTGCGAGGGGAGACAATAATTCTGTGTTGAATTTGTTGAGCAACTGCCAAATGGCAGCTGCACCATTTTATGAGAGTTCCAATTTCTCCACATCCTCACTAACACTGTAATTTTCCATATTTTTGTTTTCTCAAAAAAATATAGCCATCTTAGTGGGTGTGAAGTAATGCTAGTAATGGCATTTGAGGATGACCGATCAAGGAAGACAGAACACAAATTGAGATATGTCTGAATTAGTCCATAAGGGGGTGCCTCTAGCAACGTGCCAGAAACCAGTTCTCAAGGCAACAGCAAAACCCATACATGACCCTGATTTGTAGCATTTTCTGATCTCTATGGTGTAATTCCTCCCACCACAGCCGATGTCAAGTTACTAATCGTATTCAGCTCACAAAACTCCTAAAAATGTAACAAATGGCCCTCGCTGTTGGTGTAAGGGGCTGCAGTTCATCACCTTAGGCTCTAGGCAGTGTGTGAGGCTGATTAAGCTTAGCCTGGCCCATTACACCTCATGAGAGCTGAGATGCCAAAAACACCCAGAAGAAAGACTTCAGACAGAGGAGTGCTGGGAAGTTACATAGTGGGCTGAGTGACCAATTCAACGGAAATCAGTCCCACCCTTGAGAATAATCCATCACATTAGTTTCCCCAGCCTTGAAGCTGGGTCCAGGTCAGTGAAGGCTGGTCTGAGGGGCTGATCTACATGCATCCTTTGTTAGTGCCGCTGCCCTGGCTTGTAGAACACACATGAGCACAAGAAACAGGGAGTCTCGCCATCAGTGAGGAAACAGATGTGACTGACATTTAGGGGTGTCCTATCTCTTGACATGTCTTCCAGATTTTCAACTGAATGTGTTCATGCCATGGAGTGGCCTTCTGAGAAGCTACCATACCCACAGCCCTGCATTTTAAAATCTTAACTTAAGTGGGTTTTGCTATACAGTACCCTTCAAAACACAAAAATACCTTGCAATTTAAAATTTTTAAATTTAATTCTCAGCAAGATTAGGTAAACTTGAACTCAGAGTGAATTAATAGGGAGAGTTTTCAAGCACAGAATACTGCCCCAAGTTATATTATTAACACTGAAGAAAGTAATTTGTCATCACAATATAGTTCCCTTGTTACAGAGGATTAAATTATACAGGTAATTGTGGAGAGTAGCTTTTTTTTTTTTTTTTTTTTTAAGAGAGAGCATGCCCGCATGCGTGTGGGGGAGGGGGAGAGGGAGAAAGAGAGACTCCTAAGCAGGCTCTGCTCTCTCAGTGTGGAGCCCAGCTGCAGGGGGCTCGAACTCAGGAGCCCTGAGATCATGACCTAAGTGGAAATCAAGTGTCAGACACTTAACCAACTAAGCCACCCAGGCGCCCCTGGATAGTAGCTTTTTAACAGAATCTGAAATAGTATTACATACTAACAGATCCTAAAACATTTCCTTTATGCATACCTGCAATTATTCTGTAAAACCTCTTTTCTAACTCTGAAAAATTCTTCGGTGTTCTGTTCAACATGCTCGATTTTGCATCTCAAAGCTCGGTATTTGGCAAGAGATGGCGGGTTGGGTTTGGACAAATTAGTTTCACAGACATTAACCATGTCTCTTATCAGCTGTAGATGGAAATAATACAAGATGTTAGAATCACTACATATCAAAATATTTATAGCACACGACACGTTCTCAAAAAGACTGGAAAAATAAGGTTTTACTTCCCCAAAGCTTTTTTCTTCCAAAGATTTTATTTTTAAGTAATCTCTACATTCAGTGTGGTGCTTGAACTCAAAACCCAGAGAGATCAAGAGTCACATGTACCACCGACTGAGCCAGCTTTTGATCAGTACTTTGATCAATATGTAAGTGGCATATTAAAGGTAATACCTTTACTATATATCGTGCCCTCAATGATAGCATAATATACAATAATGATAATAATAATAGTATACATGAGGACAGCATATCATTGTTGATAAAGTGCTTTCAGGTACACTGTTCCTTTTTTTTTATTTTTAATGTATTTTATTTATTTCTGAGAGAGAGAGAGAGAGTTTGTTTTTGTTTGGGTTTGTTAGAGAGGGAGTCACAGAATCTGAAGACAGCCTCCAGGTTCTGAGCTGTCAGCACCGAGCCCAATGCAGGGCTTGAACCCACTAACCATGATATCATGACCTGGGCTGAAGTCAGAGACTTAACCAACTGAGCCACCCAGGCGTCCCAGGTACACTGTTCCTTTAATCCACACTGTAACTCTGGTCTTATTAGATCTTAGTATCCTCATTATCTAGATCGGGAAAATGAGGCTCTGAGAAGCTGAATTAATTGCTCATGACTCCACAGCAAAGAGGGGATAGTGACTAAATAGGAACTCAGATCATCAGAACTCAAGTCTGATTCTGTTACCAAAAATTCATTATGCATGTTCTGTATGCCAGGCTTGTATTAGGTTTGAAAGACACAAAAATGAATAAGACACAGGTGTCTTCCCTGAGAGAGAACCCTGGTATACTTAGTATACTCACAGGTCCTGGAGCTTGGAGGGGGGAACAGAGCTCCTGGATAATCTGAATTACATTTATATAGGAATTTATTGCTTTCCCCATCTTTGAGATGAACCAGACATTGACAGGGAGTCCTATCCATTCTACTTGCCATGCATCTTTGTGACCTTAGCGTGGGACGGGCTCACTGTTATTCAAATACACCAGCCATAAAAGAAGAGACTGATGAACTTTTCTATTTAAAAGTAAAAAAATTTCTGTATGGTGAAATAGAACCAGTCAACCACCACCCCAATTCACCATAAGCAAAGTAAAGAACAAAACAAAGCGAAAGAAATAAACAAAAGAAAAAAAAACAAAAGAAAAGGAGCCAAAGGACGTGAATAGGCAGTTCACAGAAAAAGACACACAAACATCCCCTAAATATAGATCCTGGAACTGAGAGGTCATGTCTCATCCACAAAATTGGTATAGTCTAAAAGTTTGACAAATATACTTTGGGTAAAACTATAGGAAATAGAAACTCTCCCTCACTGACAGTGGGTGGGCAAATGGTAGACCCTTGATGAGGGAATCAGACAAAATCTACCACAGTCACAGAGGCCTTCATCCTGTAAGCCAGCACTTCTATGCCTGGGACACACCCCAGAGACCCTCCCCTGCACGTGTGAAATGACCAGTACACACGTGTGTTCACTGTGGCGTTGTCTGTAGTAGCAAAGTCCGGAAACAATCCACAACGTGGTGAATGAGGGTGCTCCCTATGTACACGATATGTTAAGTGGGAAGAGCGGATGCAGAACCGCAAAGATGGCATATGACTCTTCATGTAGAAAAAGGAGGAGAGGAGTAAGTATACATGCGCATATTTATAGTTTTTTGCATAAAGAAACCGCAAAGACCAGCGAATTAGTAAAAATGGACATCTATTGAGTTGGGGAATTCAAATGGGTCAAGAGGACAGGGTAGAAGAGAGACTGCTCTGAGTATCCCTTGTAAATATAATTTTGACCGGGTACCTAGGTGGCTCAGTCGGTTAAGCATCCGACTCTTGATTTTGGCTCAGGTCATGAGCCTTGCATCAGGCTCTGTGCTGACATCATGGAGCCTCCTTGGGATTTTGTCTCCCTCTCTCTCTGTCCCTCTGCCGCACGCTCTCTCTCTCTCTCTCTTTCAAGATAAATAAAAATAAACTTTAAAAAATATCTAATTTTGACTTTTGAATAATGCAGATGTATCACCTACTGAAAATAATGAAAGTTAAATGAAAAAGTATTTGGATGGGCGTCACATTCACCTGCTCAATAGCAAAACCAGCCACTTAGGCTCTTTATTTTGGTCAAATCATGAAACTTTACATTTGGAAGACTCCTTTCTCATCTTATTTACTGGTTCATCTCATCGGTTGATTCTCCACTTATTTTGGATTTCAGGGGGTGGGAGGAGCCTCCTCTAACAGCAAGAGAAGAAGTACTCTGGCTGGGATGCTATGCAGCACTGCAGCTGTAAGGTGATGTTCGGGCAGCCAGGGGGAGGGACGCTAACTTCACAGGAAGCACGGGGACGGGAAGAAGCCAGACCCCTGATGACAATGCCACCTTTGAATGACTGGACCAGCAGCCACCCTACAGCTTCCAGTTACACAGGGTGATACGTGTCCTCAATGTTCAAGTCAATTACAGACAGAATCCTAACTCATCTCCTTGAGACAGGGAAACTGAAGACTCAGTAAAAATCTGCTTTTTGCTCCTTTTCCTCCTTCTCCTCTTGTTAGGACCCCCACTTTACACACACGTCAGAATGCAAATAGTGTATGTCTTCCTTGTATGGCACAAGGAGGTAAGGATTTCTCTAGGATAGATGATATCTAAGGAAGGGCCAGGTGGGAATGACGTGAGAAGCCACATCACTCCAGATCACCCAGTTACACATCTCCACGACACTCCCTGGCTCCGAGGAACATCACCTGAGCCCTCATTTTGTTTTGACCAGTCCCTGTGTGCCTGAGAAGACATGTACAGCAGACCGTGACCTACATGAAAATCCCAGAACTCAGGCAAAGATAAGACTTCCTCTTTTCCTTTGAGTCTCCCACACACTCTGTACCCGCACTCCCTCTCTCCCTTCAGTAACCTCTGCTTTCACCTCCCACTGGCCTGCATTTGATTTCTGTCCTCCTGATTTCTTTCTTTTAAAAATTTTTTAATGTTTATTCATTTTTGAGGGAGAGACAGAACATGAGCACGGGAGGGGCAGAGAGAGAGGGAGACACAGAATCCGAAGCAGGCTCCAGGCTCTGAGCTGTCAGCACAGAGCCCAAAACAGGGTTCGAACTTGAGAGCCATGAGATCATGACCTGAGCTGAAGTCGGACACTTAACCAACTGAGCCACCTAGGCGTCCTGTCTCTCCTGCTGATTTCTATCCCTTGAGCAGCCAGGAAGCCCCTCTGGGTCCTCAGACCTGGCCCAGGGCCGGCAGCATTCTGACGTAGAAAATTATTTTACTGTGTAGCAATTCTAAACATAGCTGCCTTTGTACTACTATTCCAACACATTCATGTTTGGGAACATGGTTCAGGTAACTTCCATAAAGACTCAAAGCATTCTAAAATGAGTCCGCATTCATTTTGAGCCAACTTTTGTGACTCAGTGCTCCCTTATTAATCAGATTTGAAAAGACTCTTCCCCAACACATTTAAAAAAAATTTTTTTTTGAACATTTATTCCGTTTTGAAGGAGAAAGAGTGTGAGCAGGGGAGGCGCAGAGAGAGAGGGAGACATAGAATCTGAAGCAGGCTCCAGGCTCTGAGCTAGCTGTCAGCACAGAACCCGACGCGGGGCTCGAACCCAGGAGTGGTGAAATCATGACCTGAGCTGAAGTCGAACACTTAACCGACTGAGCCACCCAGGCACCCATTCCCCAGCACATTTTAAATTGAATTCTGTATTTCCGAGATTTACCTGGCAGAGGTCCTCTTTCTTAGCTAATAGTCTCAGGTTCACTTCTTCAGTAGTTGTGCCTTTGTGAGGTATTAATCTGTAGAACTCCGTCATCATATTTTGCCACTGTTCTTCCCTTTCTCCATTTTTCAGTGCTGCCTTTACTAGGAGGAGAACTCCCTCTGCCTTGCTCACCTTTAAGTGGAAGACAATACATGTTTATTAAAATTGAATCGGGACGATTAGAGAGAAAGTGAAGGAACATGCAGAAAAAGATCTAAGATAGTTGTTAGGTGCATCGTAACTATTAGTTTTCTCCTGGACACCAGCCATAAGACAAATGCCACGTTTACGGGAGATGTAGCTCAGCTGTGACGATGACACCATCAGAAGTTTTCCAAAACCGGGCTCAGCTTAACTAGAGGAAAGAACCAGAGGCTTAAATATCTATAGGCTTAAATATCTGTATCTGTGTATCTAGATCTGTATCTGCATCTACATCCGTATCTATAGCTAGAGCTGCGTCCACAACTATGTCTATATTCACCGAGAGAGGAATTCTAATGCAACCACAGGAGATGGAGTTTTCACGCAAGAAATTTAAAAAGATGTCAGAATCAAAGTAGGAACAAAATTCGCCAGTAAGCCAGAAAGCAGGTCGGTCACGATAGAGGTTCTGCTTCAAGGACGCAGGTGACTCACGTCATTCAGACTAATCCTGTCCACGGGCTTGAGCAGCGTGCACTCCAGGTGGCCGAGAGCTTCCGCCCACACCATCTCCACCAAATCGCTCACCTCTCTGCTCAGAGCGCTTGAACTGATGACCTCCTCCAAAAGCAACTGCAACAACAAAATTTTAAAAAACCACAAGAAGTTTCAAGTGGACTGACTGAAAACCAGGATGAACAGAGGTGGGAGAAGAAATAATTCCAGCCAAGGAGAGAGCCACAGGCAGCCAAGTGACTGCTCTCTGAGCCTCCTCTTCCTCCCTGCACTCTCCTCCTCTCCCCTTCTCTCTTTCACTCCCACTTCACTTTTCCTTTTGTCTTTTCCTTCCCTTTGTAAGCCTGAGGCCTGGCAGGGACATCAGAGATTAAGCGGCATTAAGGGTTAAGGACCCCTGATTCCTGGCCCAGGTAGTAATGAAATCTTTTGAAAGCCATGAGGGTTTGCTGCTGAAGCAAGCAGGAAGCTTCCTGGCTCACCCTGGATGGAACTCACTCCCCACAGGCTGCCCCGCGCTTAACTCCCACTCTTCTCTCCTGCCAAGTTTGTATTTGTCATAAAGAAAACACTTCGACTCAAAATATTCAATCAACCATAGAAATTGCACACAAATCAGCCTTACTGCTTGCAGGTTTTCAGATGCCAACTGGGTTGCTTCGGGCGTAAAATATTCTCTTAGCAGAAATCCTTGTTTCTTCAGGTCTTCAATGTAATTTTCGTAGTACTCACTTGCATCTGCAGAGGTTTTCTTTACACAGAAGTGTCTTCTAGTCTGCGAATCGCAGTGTGGAGCAAAACGTGAGGACTCCAGGGCTTACTAACTTACCGAACACCTCCTACGTACCAGCGGGGAGAGGATCCTCGCCATCAAAGAGTTTACCAACTATTTTCAAACAATTACTTAAATCCTCAATCCTTCACAGAACAGCCTAGGCCTGAAAGTATGGAAGAAAAGCCTGAGCGGACCCAACCGGCAGAAGAGGCGCATGTGATTCCCTGGAGAATCACGCAAACGTCTGTTCAGAGACTATACATTCTTCCATACTATTCTAACCAGCTGTGCGGTGTGGCTTTCAAGCGTTCTGGAAACGAGAAGACGAATCAGGGGAAGGGAAGGGAAGGCACGAGGTGCTGGGAGCGACGAGCACACAGGCGAGCTGAGGCGGCAGCGCCACAGCAAGCAGCAGCAGGCGCTCAGGGGCGCCAAGGCCCCGAGCGCGCGGAGCCAGGCGGCCCTGGGCAGGCAAACCGCCGCCCTCGTTCCAACGCGCCCACGGACGCACGTGGCGGTTTCCTGCTTTTCCCGGAAATCCTTGCTCCCGTACTGAGCGGTCACCCCGAAGTCATTAACCTCAGGGGGCGGGGCGCTAGGGCCCAGGGGTGTGGCTGCGTGTCGGCCACGCCCCCGGCCCCCCAGGGAGGCCCCAGGCGCGCTGGGGGCCGCAGGCCTTAGAGACAAGAGCCTCTGAATCTTAGACACAAGAACGTATCATAATCGAGTTACTCCGTTTGAGAAGGTGGAGTTTAACATAATTTTGAAAGATTTTCATCAAAATGGTTTTTTATAAGACAGGCGAGCTAGAAAAGCCTCTTCTGTCAGACGGACCGAGGAGCCCTCTGCTTGTGCTCTCAGACTGCGCTTGCTAAGGGACGAAGGGCTCCCCCGCGCGGAGGAAGGGCCCCCTCACCCCGAGGAAGGGCTCCCCCGCCCCGACGAAGGGCTCCCTCTCGCGGAGGACGGGCTCTGGGGACAGTGAGCAGCAGGGGACACGGCGGCCGACGCAGCCTTCGGTTCCCTCCCTCAGTGGAGAGGACCGACAAGGTCTATCATCGTTTTACCTTGATGTTTCCGTACTTTTTACCCACACAACTAAATCATCCACAAAATACAGCATATGTTTTGGGTACAAGGTTACCAAAACCCTTTCTCCTTCTTGGACACATGTGACTTGGATTAATTTTTTATATCTGTCCCCATGGAAACCTGGTAAGGGTGGAATGCTGCAATATTAGGCAAAACGGCTTGGGTAACAGTGCCCTCTCGTTGATGAATCGCATCAGGATTGGGAGTTCAGTGAATGAACCTTAAACGGTGGGTGGGAAGCCGGAGCCTTGGGCTTCCCTGGCAGTGACTCCGGTAACGGGCATCTCCCTTCAGGACATCTGGAACCTAGCACGTTCCAATGGGTAGGGGCTACTGCGCGGCGGTTTCTACCTGAGGTAGATCCTGCCCCTCCTGATGGGAGTCTCCTTCCTGGCACCACAGCTGACGCCTCCAGTGGGGGCAAAGCCGGAAGCATCCGGAGCCCGAGTAAACGGCTGTGAGGACCACTCCCACTGGGGAGCGTCTGTGTGCCCTGTGGGCACTCTGTTTCCCGCCTGGAAGCCTGACTGTCTAAACAGAAGACACCCTGACGGCGTGGCAGCATGTGCTTTGAACTTTAGGTATTAGTTCTGAATTTATTTTTGTTTCATAATAGTTTCAAGTGGGAACCGTGCCCTTGACTTGGCGGTGACCTAATGCAAGGGTCTCAGGCTCTGCAAAGGCTTCCTGGCCATTTGTGAGCCTACAATACTTCATGATACATTTCAGTATCAGTTCTGTCCCAGCGGGTTACAATCATGAATCTTCCCTGGCGGTCGTCTCTGAGGGGCAGGGTTTGGCTTCTGGTAGATCACTTGGTGCTCAGCAGGTACTTAGCGAAGGGTGTGAAGGGGTCGTTTTTAGCAGTGTATATACATTAGGAAAGTTTCGAAAGCGCTTCAACACAGGGGCAGGAGACCCACATGCCCTGCACCCAGGGAGTATTTCCCTTTTGACAAGAAAGAACCCTATGCCGCTCTACTCAGCATGCTGCTCTCACCCTCTCTCCTCCCCCTGCTGCATTCCAACGGAGAACACATTCTACTTTTCAAAAAGAAACTTTTTTTATTTTATATTTATTTATTTTTGAGAGACAGAGAACACAGAGAGAAGGAGACACAGAACCCGATGCAGATTCCAGGCTCTGAGCTGTCAGCACAGAGCCCGACGCGGGGCTCGAACCCACAAACCGTGAGATCGTGACCCGAGCAGAAGTCAGACACTTGACCACTTAACCGACTGAACCACTCAGGCGCCCCACGGTTCTACTTTTCAAACCATTTCCAGGTAAGAAGAAAAAGGCTAATAGATTGGCCAGCACCCTGACCCACGTTAAGGAAACTAGTTATGAAGAAGGGTGGATAAACACATAGGAATCAATGTAAAGATCAATACCTTGAGGCCGGAGGCCAAGAGGAAGCGCGCGGATATCAGAAAGGCGGCGGCCCCGGGTGCCTGGGAGCACTGCAGTTCCACCACCACCACTTCCTTATCTCCCTCCGCCTCAACCTGGAAAACAGGTTGTTCTTCAGACGCGCCTCCGTTAAATAACACATCGCATGCACCATTTAAAACTGTTATTATAAATGGTGGGGGAAAGGGAGAGAGGCAAACCATGAGAGACTCTTGAATGCTGACAAAAATTGTGGTTTGTTGGGTGTGGGGGGGTGGGGGGGATGGGCATGTAGGAGGGCACTTTGGGGATGAGCACTGAGTGTTATGTAGAAACTAATTTGACAATAAACTATTTGTAAAAAAAAAATAAAATAAAATAAAATAAAATAAAATAAAATTAAAACTGTTATTATAAAGCCAATACAATACGTGGAGATAACAACTTGTAAAATACAGAAAGTATAAAGAAAAAATAAAAATTACCTGAAATCACACCACAGATATAATACTATTAATATTTTGGTATATCTCCTGCCTGTATTTTTACTACAGATATATCTGTTTTTGCTTAAACTATACCACTTTTTATATTTCATCACAGAAGGAATGTTGTTTTCAAGTTACATTTCATTAAAATATCTAAAAAATACAAATGGAGAATCATTTTGAACGCTAGGGTTAATTTTCATTTATACGATATTGGAGAAAAAATTTTTCCTTTTTCTTTTTAATGAATGGTAATGCAAATTCAACATAATATAAATACTACTCTTTAAAATCTACTCTTTTTTTTTTTAATGTTTTATTTATTTCTAGGAGAGAGAGCGAGACAGCGTGAGCAGGGGAGGGTCAGAGAGAGAGGGAGCCACAGACTGAAACAGGCTCCAGGCTCTGAGCGGGCAGTCAGCACAGAGCCCGACGTGGGGCTCAAACCCACGAACCGCGAGATCATGACCTAAGCGAAAGTCGGACACTTAACTGACTAAGCCACCCAGGCGCCCCTAAAATCTACTCTTAAATAGATTCAAATCTACTCTTAAAATACAAGAAACCATCAATAATGAAATCTGGCCACGTGTAGCAACATGGATGGAACTTGAGGGTGTTATGCTGAGTGAAATAAGTCAGGCAGAGAAGGACAGATACCATGTGTTTGCACGTATAGAAGGATTAGGAGCAACTTAACGGAGGACCATGGGGGAGAAGAAGGGGAAAAATAGTGGGGGAGATGGAGGGAGGCAAACCATGAGAGACTCTTGAATGCTGACAACAAACTAAGGACTGATGGGTGTGGAGGGGAGGGGGGAGATGGGCACGGAGGAGGGCACTTGTTGGGATGAGCACTGGGTGTTATATGGAAACCAACTTGACAATAAACTATTAAAAAAAATTTTTTTTAAATATACTCTTAAATAGATTCAAGTCTAAAATACAAGAAACCATCAATAAACGGAGGAGGTCCTTTACTTTTATAGTCACATTAATATTTTGAACTGTTCACATTTTATTGTGACCATGTATTACTTTTATAATAAAACACTAAGAAGTTAAATATTAAATTTTAAATACAAAATTTTCTTGATTATTAAAAATCAACTCATCTATTAAGAAATATTTATTCAGGATATGCACAATTTTCCAAAACAATGAGAAAATTATCCAACAGGAAAAGTAATCAGAAGACAGGTTTTTTCAACTACAAATCAGACTCTTACTTTTTCCAGGGTGTTATATTTTGCAACTTCGAAGTCTTGTGGAAAATGAGGAATTTCAACGTTCTCTGTAGAAGACCTGAAATTTATATAAGAAAAATGTAACATTACATTGGACTTTTAGACTAAATAGCCTTTTCAGTAAATTGTTCTGGTATGTCTCCTAATTCCATACAAAATAGATTTTATGTCCCTAATGCCTCCTTAGATACTCTGAAAATGGTTAGAAAGTCTTATGGAATGAGCTGGACTCCTCCTGTCCAGGAGTAAAGTGTGAAACTTTAGAATTCTGAGTGTCTGCCTCGGAAGGTGGGTGTCCTGAAGCAGCGGCAGGCTATGGAAAGAGCGCTAATCCTGCATCCGGGCTCTGACCCTCAGAAACCAATCGCTGAGGCTCACACCAGAGCCTGTCTGCACTACAGTCAACATCCCTTTAAAATAAAGATGTCAGACTTCTTATAATCTGTGCTTTTATTTTTGGTATCTGTTCTCTCTTTTAACACTACGATTAACAAATAAAATAAGGCTAAATGTGACACATTACTGACATTACAGTTTCGGGTATGCTTGAGAAGCCATATGCAAGTGTAGCCGCACACAGTCCATTTGCAGAAGGTTGTCATTTCCATTTTTTGACACATTAGGTAGGGAGTCAGGGATTGTTTCTACTCTAAAGGCTTCTCTATAAGGGAGCAGGGTGAGCAGACTGCCCAAATCTCATCTCCAGTGCCTTTTCTTTTTTCAAATCAATCTATCATGTCCCATCTTGTATAATACTAAGATGGATATAATTATCACTCTACTAGTTGAATTAAAAAGTCTTAAATAAATAAAAGCCTAGAACTATAGAGGATAAACCAAAATACTACAAGAAGCATGAGGTACTAATAGCATTGTAAAATTGTGTTTGAGGTTTACAAAACTGGAGAGTCTGAATGATCAGAAGTAGATTACTCTGTGAGCTCCACAATGTTCTCCTTCTCTGTGGAGGTGTCCAGGGACTGGTCATCTGTTGTCACTTGTAAGAGGAAAACAAACAAAACACTTGTTTACTATTCAAAGATTTATTAAAATTATCCACAATAAACACTGGAATTGTTAAGAATTTTGAATACAGGTAATATTTACCATGCTATTCTCTTTTTAAAAGATGTCCTTAAATTAGCTATAGAAATTGGTGACCTAAGGACAGTGCAAGTGGGATGAGAAGGTAAAGATAAAAGATAGAATACATTATAATTCTCCTTTAATAGGCATGTGAGGACAATTCTAATGTAATCTGTATTATTTGAAACTCATTGATAGATATACAATTTCAAATAGTATTTTTCCCTTCTGAAGATTATGGTAAGGATAGTTATGAAATGGATTTCTTTCTTTCTTTCTTTCTTTCTTTCTTTTAGAGAGAGAGTATGCATGTGCAAATGGGGGAGGGGTAGGCAGAGAAAGAGAGAGAAAGAGAGAATGGGAGAGAATCTCAAGTGGGCTCCATGCCCAGCAAAGAGCCCAATGCAGGGTTCAATCCCACAATCCTGGGATCATTACCTGAGCCAAATTCAAAAGTCAGATACACTCAACCAACTAAGCCACACAGGCACCCCATGAAATGCATTTCTTTTTTCTTTTTATGTTTTATTTTATATTAGAGAGAGAGAGAGAGAGCGTGCGCATGAGTAAGGGAGGGGCAGAGAGATGGAGACAGAATCCGAAGCAGTCTCCAAGGTCCAAGCTGTCAGCACAGAGCCCAATGTGGGGCTCCAACTCACAAGCAGTGAGATCATGACCTAAGCCCAAGTCTGACGCTTAACTGACTGAGCCTCCCCAGGCGCCCCAACGTGAAATGCATTTCTAATATGCTGTGGAATTAGAGTGGTTCCCCAGTGCAATCGTGTCACAAATGAAGGAACTGGGGAAGTTCTAGTTTAGAGGAGGGAAATTCGAGGGTTCCTATGTGAAGCAAAGCAATTTTTGCTTCATGTTTTCCTTATAAAATAACCGTAACACTGTCTATGGCATTATGATAGACAGGAATAACTCTGTTTTAAAAAGGATTTCTTTCCAGTTTTAATTATGCTATCAAGCGGTGCTTGGGTGGCTCAGTCGATTGAGCATCCAACTCTAATTTGGCTCAGCTCATGATCGAGCCACATGTTGGGCTCCATGCTGGGGTGTGGAGCTTGCTCGAGATTTTCAATCTCTCTCTCTCTCTGCTCCTTTGCCCTGCTTGCATGCTCTCTGTCTCAAAAATAAAATAAATAAACTATGCTATCAAGATGTCAAAGAGCATCAATGTATTTACAGTAATTCCAAATCCGAGTGTATTATTCTGGATGTTGAAAAACATTTTCAATGTAAAACAAGTTTACTATTCTGCCTTTCTTGCTTTATCACCATTTTCTGAGAGCAAGAAAGTCTGATGGCAGCATGTCATTCAACAATCAGTTGTCTAAAGAGGCTGCACAATACCATTTAGATTTCTAAAATTCTCATAAATAATATAATTTATATGTGCAATATAGTATCTAACATATATCATGTGCTTACTGTAAGTTATTATTTATCACAACTGCTTGACTTTTGATACGTTTCACGAGGCCTGTATTCCTCTATGTCCAAAGGTGTGCTTTGTGGCCAGATTCCAAAATAAAATCTGGGTCTATAAAGGAGGTATGTTTCCCTTAGAGGGATCATCTTCTGGAAAGAACTTATTCAGCAAAAATGCTAATCACAAAATTTCCAGTCATTAAGTTGTGGTGATAATTTTTAAACACAAAGTTTCCTCCTCTTCCAAGATAAAATTATACATCAAAATTTCTGAGATTATCAGTGTTTTTATAGTTTTTTTGAATCTAATCCTATTAGATAGTCTTTTGTATTTCACTATTTGTCCACTTTCTGAGATGAGGAGAAGTTTAATTATTTTTGTCACATTTCTTTTTTTTAAACAAATTAAAAAATTTTTCAGAGAGAGTGAGAAAGAGCAGGGGAGGGTAGAGAGAGAGAGAGAGAGGAAGACACAGAATCCAAAGCCTGCTCCAGGCTCCAAGCTGTCAGCACAGAGCCTGAAGCGGGGCTCAAACTCATGGGCCCAGAAATCATGTCCTGATCCAAAGTCAGACACTTAACCGACTGAGCCACCCAGGTGCCCCTCTTTTTTATTTTTATTTTTTTAAGTTTGTTTGTTTTGAGAAAGAGAGTGCACACATATGTGCGTGTGCAGGGGAGGGGCAGAGAGAGAGTGAGGAAGAATCCAAAGCAGGCTCTGCTCTGTCAGCACAGAGCCCAACACGGGGCTCGATCTCATGAACTGTGAGATCATGACCTGAACCAAAATCAAGAGTCTGATGCTTAACTGACCAAGACACCCAGATGTCCCTTTTTTGTAATACTGTGGACAATCCTTTGACTATACTATCTTTTTTTAAAAATTTCTTTCATGTTTTATTTATTTCTGAGAGAGACAGTGTGAACAGGGGAGGATCAGAGAGAGAGGGAGACACAGAATCTGAAGCAGGCTCCAGGCTCTGAGCTGTCAGCACAGAGCTTGACATGGGGCTTGAACTCAGGAACCGTGAGATCATGACCTGAGCCAAAGTCGGACACTTAACCGACTGAGCCACCCAGGCACCCCTGACTATACTATCTTTGACAAACCAAAATGTTTACTATAGCACCTATAATATATTATTGAGTGCTTGATATAAAATACTTACCAGAACTGTTTGCCTTTTGACAAGGAGGTGGTGTGATGCCCAGTGACTTACTAGGATCATAATTCATTACATCCAAGAGTCTCCTTTCTTTGATAGATTCCCATATAAAATCTGGGTTTGTTATATGGACATGGTTCTTTTGGATAGAGTTCAGTTGATACTGGCTCAGAACATCAGCATTATCTAAGATTACATGCGTGCACTTAGAAAAAAAAAAAAGAACCAATTCATTATACACTTGTAAAAACAATATCTAAGTATATTCCTTGTATCTGTAATTTTCACCCTCAACGAGTCTTAAATTTGTAATAATCATTCTCAGCTTTCTAAAACCCTTACAAATAATATAGTTTTTAATTACATAAAAGTTAAAAAAATCAAGTTTTTTTAATGTTTATTTTTGAAAGAGTGTGCAAGCAGGGGAGGGGCAGAGAGAGAGGGAGACAGAGGATCCAAAGCATGTGCTGACAGTGCATGCAGGGCTCAAACTCATGAACCAGGTGATCAGTACTTGAGCCAAACTTGGACACTTAACCAACTGAGCCACCCAGGTGCCCCCAAAATCAACAGGTTTGTTTGAAAAATTTTTAATGTTTTATTTATATTTGAAAGACAGAGAGAGACAGAGTGAGCAGGGGAGAGGCAGAGAGAGATGGAAACAGAATCCAAAGCAGGCTTTAGACTCTGAGCTGTCATCGCAGAGCCTGACGCAGGGCTTGAACTCATGAGCCGTGAGATCATGACCTGAGCCAAAGTCGGACACTTAACCAACTGAGCCACCCAGTTGCCCTGACAGTTTTTAATTTTTAAAAAAAAATATTTTAATGTTTTATTTTTATTTTTCAGAGAGAGAGAGAGAGAGAGAGAGAGACAGTGTGAACAGGACAGGGTCAGAGAGAGAAGGAGACACAGAATCTGAAGACAGGTTCCAGGCTCTGAGCTAGCTGTCAGCACAGAGCCTGACGCGGGACTTGAACCCATGAACCGTGAGATCACGACCTGAGCTGAAGTTGGACGCTTAACCGACTGAGCCACCCAGGCGCCCCCCTGATAGTTTTTAAAGGGTATGGATATGGGGTGTCTGAGTGTCTGTCTGAGTCTGAGTGTCTGTCTGAGTGAGGATTCCATTCTTGATTTTGGCTCAGGTCCTGATACCAGGGTTATGGGATCGAGCCCTGCACTGGACTCTATGCTGAGCATTGAGCCTGCCTAAGACTCTCTCTCTGTCCCCTCCCCAGTCTCCTCTCACTCTCTGTCTACAATAAAAAAAAAAAGTACTAATAAAAATTTTGAAAATATAAAAAATAAAAGAGTATGGATATGGACGTGCCATAAGTGATTAACCAACCCTAACGGTTATTTCCAAAATTTCACTCCTCTAAACAATGCTGTGCTGAATATCTTCTTGTACACTCCTTTAATTATTTTCTTAAGAGTGGAAAGGCAGATTCAAATGGTACTCATTATTTAACTTGTTAAGTTGTAATATTATTTATTTTTTTAAACTTAAAAAATTATTTTAGAGAGAAAGTACGAGCGGGGAAGAGGGGAAGAGAGAGAGAATCTCAAGCAAGCTCCATGTGGAGCATGATCCCATGACCCTAGGCTTGATCCCATGACCCTGGATGACCTGAGCCAAAAGCAAGGGTTGGACGCTCAACCAACTGAGCCACCCAGGTTCCCACTTAAGTTGTAATTTTATTAATTTATTTTAGAATAAAGAATAAATATTTTAGAATATGCACATTGTATAAAATCTAAAAAGTATAATAATAATTAATTAACATATTCCCCACCATTGTTCCCAGTTCCCCTCCCCAGTGGCACCTGCTGTAACTTGTTTCTTGAGCGCCCTTCCAGAGCTATTCCACGCAGAGGCAACACACATATAAGCACAGCCCTGTCTGTGGTTGGCCACAAACGGGAGCACACTAAACGTGCTATTCTGAACCTGCTTTCCCACTTGGCAACTTATCTTGGAGCTCATTCCTCAACAACACAAACCCAGTGGTCTCCTTTGTTATATAATACCTGGTAAGCACATTTCAAAAATGTATATACGTTGGCAACATAACTTCCAAAAAGGTGCCACTCAAAGTATGTGGGAAATTCTGAAAATGAGAGACTATGTTGGTATTCTTTACCCTTTACCCAGAAGACAAACTGAGGTGTAACAGTCACGAATTATCCATCCGTCCACAGAAATGGTGGGACAGGCAAGTGAGGGAAGCTGTATACAGGGAAGTATATGCAATTCTGCTTCAACTGGAGGTAAACGGAGACATTCCATGTCTGATTCCCACAGGCACATGACTGAAATGCCAGAAAGCACCTAGCATCCCACTGGAGTTGAACATACTTCACAGGAAAACCAGACTCACTGTCAGCGAGCCCTGGGGATCTGGTCCAGGAAGGGGCAGGCTGGGTCACCCATCAGTTCAGCGACAGAGGGAGGGGCAACAGACAGGGGCAAGCCCGGCATTTGGAGGCCTGGGACCCAATGACTTCAGACTTTAATTTTATTATGATGAAGTGTTTAAAGAAGACGAGGTTAGCCTTAATTACTTTTAAGATTTCACCCAGCTGTCAAAATTCTATATTTAAACTGTCAGGCCCACAATTCATTTCTAGAGAGGGAAGCTTCCTTCAGCTTTTAAATAAACAATACAAGCAGTACAAGCTGTATCACAAAGATCAGTTTGCAATGCGTGTTCTCCTCTCTGTCGCCTATAGGTCACAACCCCAGGGTTGACAGACTGGTGAGTGATTACACAGAGAGCTCTTTTGTTTCATGTTTATTTATTTTAAGAGAGAAAGAAAAATCACTCACATGGGGGAGGGGTGCAGAGAGAGCAAGAGAGAGCAAGAGAGAGAGAGACTCCTAGGAGGCAGGCAAGAGGCAGGCGCTTAACCAACTGAGCCACACTGGCGCCCCTAGAGAGAGTGCGTTTTGCAAAATGCTGTACAGCAAAACTTTTCTCCTTCGAGAACAGATTTGGCTGGTCTTAAGTTATTTCTATTCATTATCTTTGGCTGTACTCTAATAACCTCAGAGTCATAGGGCGGGTGGGATTTCCCTACAGCTCACAGCGTGGACAGAAGATGGGACGACCCTCTTCCTGTGGAAGGAAGTCCACTTCCCTGTTGGTGATGTCACAATTTCAGCCACTTTCGCTGACTTTCTCCTGCTGCCAATTTTCCCTGTTTACTCTTCTAACCACGACCCGCCCTCCCTTTTTAAAAAATTTATTAATCTTATTATTTTTTAAAGGTAAGCTCTATGCCCAAGGTGGGGCTTGAACTCAAGACCCGGAGTCAGGAGTGGCATGAGCTCCCCGCTGAGCCGGCCTGGCACCTCGACCTGCCCTCCCTTAATGCACAGTGTTTATCAACACAGTTCCTACAAAATTTGCAAATACCTGAGGATTTAATAAAAAGGAAAATTTTCCACCATTCTCCTTAATGTCATTCTGTAGCTTTTTCTTCTGTTGACGAGGTAAGTGCTTGACTTTCAAACAGAAGGTACAATTTGCAAAGATCCCCACAGTCATCCTGTAGGAAAAAACAAGTTTCAAGTCATAGTTTTAAAGGATTCTCTTCTCAATGAATACAATTGACAGCGAATTTAGAACTGTTCCACATGCAAACTGTGGGAAGCTGGGCATTTTAAAAAGACATTTAACCACAAAAGTTGGACAATGGTCAAACTTGCAATAAGTCTGTTGGTTTTAGAATCATTTCTAGTTTTTATGTCTGATATTATGACACCCCAAAATACTTTGTTACAGGTTCATAATATATAGCTAAATGAAAATGTATAGATTTTAGTTAGAGATCAGATGTGTGGTTTAAGACTATAGAAGAATGAGAAGAATTTCTCTCTCAGAAATAAATAAATAAACATTAAAAAAAATTTTTTTCAGAACAGTCTCTACCTAATGCACCCTGCACTGCTGGACAAGGAAGGCTGAATGGGCATGGCTGCCCTCCTCTCCAGATCTGTCTTCCAAGTCCTCTGACCTGGCCTTTAAAAATAGGTTTTCTAATAGAAAAGTCATTCATGCTTATCTTAGAAAGTGTGGAAAATTCAGAACTGCATAACAGCTAAATAATTTCAAAAACCTAGAGGTCATGTTAACAATTTCTTTTGTTTTTTCTTCCAGGTTTTTTTTTCTACGTGTATGTACTGTAATTGACTATTTTATTATCTAAATTGAAATCACATCATATTCACAATATTTATCTTGCATTATGTCAGCATTTTGTCACTAGCATTAGATCATTAAACATTCGTGGAAAACATTTTTAAACAGAGGCTGAGATATGTATCATAAATGAACTATTTCTATATTGCTGGGCAAGTATTTAGTCTAATTTTTGGCATCAAAACCGAAGCTAAAATGTACATCCCTGCATGTAAATCTTTGTTTGCAACTCCCATGACTGTCTTAGAGAACAGATCTAAAACCCTAAACAATACTGAGTCAGAGTTCAAATAATTTTTATTTTTGTTAGTTTATATTTAGCTTAAATCGTATTACTTTTCAGTTTTGCTTAAATTTCCTAGGAAATTACTACGAATCTGTCTTTCTAGAAATAACTTCTCCCCCAAGTAGGTTAACCAGTATAAAGAAAAATAAAGAGCACATACAGTGATGGTAATATTTTTGAAGGTAGATCATGGTGATGATTGATGCACAACTTGGCAAGTTTATTAAAAATCTTTGAATCATGCAATTAATATGGGTGAATTTAATGGTATATAATTTATATCTCTGTAAGTTGTTTTTAAAAAGTACCTATGATCTCTCTATCGGGAAAAAACTCCACTGTTGATATTTTGAGATTTCTTTCAATATCTTTGATATTATTCTTTCCTGTATCAATATATTTTGTAAATTATTTTTATAAAAATGTTACTTGTATTATTTACTGAATTTTATATCCAGTTTCTTTTATCTAACTTTTAAAAAAATAGTTTTTAGATGTTTATTTTTGAGAGAGAGAGAGAGAGAGAGAGAATCTGAAGCAGGCTCTAGACTCTGAGCTGCCAGCACAGAGCTTGATACAGAGCTCAATCCTAGAACTGCAAGATCATGACCTGAGCCAAAGTCTGACGCTTAGCTGACTGAGCCACCCAGGTGCCCCTCTTTTATCTCACTTTTAATCAGAATTTTCCCGTACCACTAAATATTCTTTGAAAATATTTGTAGTGGCTATGTGTAATTTAACTTTCCCCCCAAGTCATCAGATATTTGGTTATTGAAAATTATTCATTATTAGAAAATACACTTTGAAGAAAATGTTTTATACATATTATATAGATATTTTTAAGCCGTTATTTTGGTATAAAATGTACCTAACATAAACCTTACCATTTTAACCATTCTTAAGCGTACAGTCCAGTGGCATTAAGTACATTCACAATGTTGTGAAACCAAAGTATAAACAAACATTTTAAACAAACTCTGGCCCATTCTTAGCAGCTGAGGCCACATAAGAGGTAGAGAAACAGGCTCTAAGTTCTGTGAAATCTCAAGTCAGGCCTTGATCTCTGTCTTCCTACAGATCGTATGTGGAGTCTCTGAGCCATGTGGCCTCTCCTGGCTCGCAGCTCCTAACAGACAGGTGCCACCAGTAAAGCAGGGAGTCAGCGTCTATTCATGTTTCCACCATAGCCTGTTACATCCATGTGAGATCTCTGAGTGTCTTCCATCCATCAGGCCCCGCGTTAGGGACCCAGGACTAGAGCAGACCTCCCCAGCCACTGAGAAGTTCCCTGAGCAACTCCTCCCCAATTCCAGCAACTCTACCCAAAAACCAACGGTGCAGCTGGGAGCAAGAGACTTCCTGCCTTGCAGTTCCGTGTCTTTACAACTGGTATTTCTTCTTCTTTGCCGGCCTCAGCATCCCCCGATCCAGAGACTCTTTCTGGAACCCTTTTCCCTCTGATTTGCTGCCCTGCTCTGGCCCTCTCAACAACCCTACAGCCTGGCAGCTTTCATCACACATCTCTCTATAATCATCGCCTGTTCTCCACTCTTAACATTATCAGTTAACATTACAATAACATTATCAATTTCTCTAGGAGGGTCAGTCCTACTTGAGGGGCTGTGTCCTGGAGTCCAGCTTACTTTTGGTACACAGTAGGGATTCAGTAAATGCTTGCTTAGTAAAAAGTCTTTCATGCATCAATTAAAGCCTAGGATTATATGAAAGAAGAGAAAGCCTTCTATTTCTCATTATTTGCATATTTGGACCCACATTGCATCACTACCGCACCTCCCTCGTGGAACTTATAAACCCTTAAAAAGTGAAGACCACCTACTTCGGTACTGCTCCTCCTCCCACAGCATATTATACCTCTAAGCACAAAGACAGAACATAATAAATGTTCACTGAATAAAGGATCAAGTCAAATGTACCTAAAAAAAACACGCACATATTGAAAGTGAATTTCTCCTTTATCATACTACTGCCCTTTCAATATTTTAATGTTTATTGTTATTTTGCACTCCAGAATCGGAAGTGTGAACATTCAGCAAAGCCTTGTTATTCTAGAAGCTGGCATTTACCGACTCCGTCCTCTAGATGAGTCATTCGGCATTCCCTGCAGGAAGTACTTAACAGATTTCCAAGTTTTCAACTTTGATCTTCAACATGCACATTAAGTATTTCTATTACGGTGTTCCTAATTATGACGTCGGATTACATTCCCTGCTTATTCACCAAAATACTGTATTTTTTGGAAAGGTTTCCCTTGACACCTAACTTGGAAGAAGAAACACAGGCTGTCTGCACTTCCCCCGAGCCTGGGACGCGTCCAGACCCCACAACCCGAGGGCCGGCTCCCGGTGGCGGTCCCACCTGTGTCCCGTCACCTGGCCGGCGGCTCACACGAGGACACCCCAACACCCGAGGGCGCTGCAGGAGCCAGGGCTGGGGCACCGCTCCGCGACCACGGTCACCGCGGCGCAGAGCTCAGCCGGCCGCCCGGGCAGGGGGTCGCCGCGACCACCTCCAGGCCGCGACTACAGGCCCACGCGGAGGGGGCGGGCCGGGCCGGGGGCGGCCACCCAGGGGCGCCAACGCACCTGCCAGGAATCCGGCCCTCTCTGGACGCTCCCCGCTCCCGGCGTCCCCGCGGCCCGGCTACCGGCGCTCCGGCCCCGCTGCTTCCGGAATCCGGGCTCCGGCGCAGAGCTGGGGCGGCCGCGGGCGGGGCGGTGGGAGCGCGGCCCGAACCCGCCCTCGACGGCCTCCCGAGGCCGCGCCCCCGAGCGCCCGGGGCTCCCAGCCGGACGACGCGGCGTCTGTACCCTGGGAATTAGGCGTTGGGCTCGGTACGGTGTCTCTTCCTGGGTCAGACTGAGGGTTCCTCATTTTTTCAGTTTCATTTTTGGGCCCGGATTTGGCCAATGAAGGCAGAGTGGGTTTGGCAGAAGTGGGTGGATGGTGCTGCCATTTGACTGAGAAGTGAGAGTAATTCTAGGGGCGGGAAAGAGGGAAATTCCGGGAGGATTTGAGATTCGAGGAGCAAAAGGTAAGATGATGAACTTAGTTGAGGACTTCCCGGGTTGGAAGTTCGTGGTGGTGTTCTATATCCGCCATTCCACAGGTGGGGGCTCAGATTTACCGCGTGGGGGTAACTAATAGGAAAACAATAAATTTCACCAGATACCGAGTTAAATGAAAACTCGTGCTGTCAGCACGGAGCCCCAGAGGCTGGATCTCACAAACTGAGATCAGCACCTGAGCCAAAGCCGAGAGTTAGATGCTTAACCGACTGAGCCCCCCGGCGCCCCCCCATCATTACCTTACAGGGGGGTAAAGGAATCAGCTTAGGGGACATTAAGCAAAACTGGTATAGTAGGGAGTCCCAGGGTCCATCCCTCCCCAAAAACATTCTTAGAAACCAGGCGAAACCTCAGAAACCACCTTATCATAACCCAGAAGATAGTCAAAAGTTTACAGCAAACAAGCGGGTGTGTAACCAGGAGAAAGGCCTCTGAAACAAGGTAGGAGGTCTTTATATGTTTTAACTGGTTCCACGTCTCGTTCCCGGTGTAGGTAATCTGGTTTTGGAGGGAGCAGGGCAGACTTTGTCCTAAGGAAGTATGTCTGTCTGTTTTGACCTGTCTGGGGGTTCCCTGAAGGACTGGGACAATGGGCTTGCCTTTGTTTCCCCAACTCAAACTTTCTCAAGCCAGATAATTAGATACTTCCGGCACGTACCTCAAAAACACTGAAAGGCAAGTGAACAATCCCCTGCCACATGGGACAGACAACAAAACCCAAAAAACAGTTCGGACAAAGGACAGACGGGCTGAAGGAAAAGCATGAGAGGAACAGCCAGGAATGAGATTTCCTAGAGGAATAAGGGCTTTGAAAAAGCTGTGTAAACTGATGCATCTATTATAGCACGGGGACAGAAACTGTGGGCAGCAAGATCTCCATCATGATAGTGAGGTCACACTTTTCTTTTTCTTTCTGTCCAGTTTCTGTTCCCATGCTAGAATAAAAACACCTTTTGGCACTGTAAAAGATCTTTATTATTATCATTAGAGAGAGAGAAAGCACACTATTGGGGGAGAGGGACAGAAGAAGAGAGAGAGAATCTTATGCAGGCTTCATGCTGAGCATGCAGGGCTTGATCCCAGGATGCTGGGATCGTGACCTGAGCTGATATCAAGAGTCAAATGCTCAACCGACTGAGCACCCAGACACTCCTGCACCATAAAACATCTTAAGAATTCTTTCTTGACCATTGCGCTCCACCATCCAGCATCAGACACAGAACAGACAAACCTTTTAGAATTTCTGGGGAAAAAAAAGGGAAGAGGGTTTTATTTGAGCTCCAGTGAGGACAGCTGTCCTGGATACACAATCTTCACAAAGAAGAGAGTGCTCTTGAGAAGGAGTATTTAATACAGGGTTATATGTGTTTTTTGTTTCACCAAGAGTTACAAATTCTCATGAGGAAGGACATTCCAGAAAATTACAGACTTTCTCTTACAGGTTTGGCATGTGCAGGTTGCAGATTTCTGGAGGTATGGAAACAGAATGTAGGGAACTTTTTACAGTGTGAAATGTTTTTTATTTTTTATTAAAAAAATTTTTTTTACATTTATTTATTTTTCAGGGACAGAGATAGAGTGTGAGCAGGGGAGGGGCAGAGAGAGAAGGAGACACAGAATCTGAAGCAGGTGCCAAGCTGTGAGCTGTCAGCACAAAGCCCAACACGGGGCTTGAACCCACAAACCATGAGATCATAACCTGAGATGAAGTGGGATGTTCAACCGACTGAGCCACCCAGGTGCCCCTGAAATGTTTCTTTCAGATTATTTGCTAAGGAAGCAGATGTACTGTGTGTGCTCTCGGCAGAAACAGAGCCCCTGCTTTGAAGTTTGGTTAAGTCATTCTGACCTCGGTGAAAAATAAAGTGTGGCTTCCCTGGGCGCCCAGGAGTAAGGCCTACAAACATTGTAAGATGAAATTCTCCTTATCAAGGTTCAGCACAAGCAGGAACTGGAGGCTAAGGCAGAGTTATAAAGATCCTGCCTAAATATTAGAAGGAATGCCCCACCACAGAGCCAATTTGCAAAGACCTGAAGAGTATTTTTTTTTAACTTTTCTTCTTTTTCTTTCCTTCTTCTTCTTCTTTTTCTTTCTTTCTTTTTTTTTTTTTAACTCCAGGCATTTAAGAAAATCTTAAACCATTAGCTGAGCATTAAGCTAAAGGTCTAAGAGTTCAGAGATCACAGAGGACAAAGAACACAGTCTTTATAAAAAATTTTTAAATAGGTTCCACACCCAGACCAACATGAAACTTGAACTCACAACCCTGAGATTAACAGTTGCATGCTCTACTGACTGAGACAGCCAAGTGCCTCTACAAAAATAGTTTTTAAAAGTCACTAACAACCAGAACCCACAGCAAGCCAACAACAGGAAATCCTGGGGAGGAGAGAGAGTCTGATATCTAGAGTTGCCACATTACAGTACTCAAAATGTTTAGGTTTCAACAAAGTTATGAGACATGCCAAGGAACATGAAAGTAAGGTTTTATTATTATTATTATTCTTTGGAAAAAATGAACAGAAGCTGTGCATGAGGAAAAATAAACATAGGATTTATTATATAAACACATTAAATAAACTATCTTAAATATGCTGAAAGAAGTAAAGGAAAACATGAACAAAGAACTAAAGGAAACCAGAATAACAATATCTCAAAAGAGAATATCAATAAAAAGACAAAAAATGATAAAAAACTGAATAGAAATTTTGGGAGTTGGGAAGTATAATAACTGAAATAGAAAATTTGCTAGAGGTGATCACCCACAGATTTGAGGAAACAGAAGAAAGAATGAAATGATCAAGAAATGATCAAAAGAAAGAAAGAACTTGAAATGATCAAGTTTCAGGAACATAAGGAAAAGAGAATGAAGAAAAATGAACAGAGCCTCAGGGATCAGTGGGACATCAAGAATACCAACATATAGAAGATGGGAGACCTAGAAAGAGATGAAAGAGAGAAAAGGGCAAAAATCTGAAGAAATAATGGTCACCAACTCCCAAATTTGATAAAAGATAGGAAGCAACAACACATCGAAGGAGCTCTAGGTAGGAAAACTCAAAGAGAGCACACCAAGACACATTATAATGAAATTTCTTAAAAACAAAGACAAGAGCAATTCATCCCATAAAAGGAATTATCAATAAGATCAATAGCCAATTTCTCTGCAGAAACAATGGAGGCTGGAAGGCTGTGGGGTAACATAATTGAAGAACTGAAAGAAAAAAAAAAAACTGGAAACCAAGAAATTTATACCCATCAAACTATCATCCAAAAAGGTGAAGGAGAAATTAAGGTATTTTCAGATAAATAAAAGCTAAAGGAGTTCATTACTAGCTGGTCTGCTCTACTAGAAATGTTAAAGGAGTCTTTAACTTTGAAATTAAATAACACTAGACAGTAAATTGAAGCCAAATAAATAAAGAACACTGGTAAAAGTATCTACATAGGTAAAAATAAAAGCCAAAAGTATTGAGGGGTTTTTTTTGCATCTTTTATTTTTGTATATTTTAGTTAATAAAGCCAATAGTATTGTATTTTTTATTTGTAACTCCTCTTTTTTCCTTCATGACAATACATAAAACAATAATTATAAAGCCATGTTAATGGGCTCACAATGTATAAAGATGTAATTTGCAACAATAATACAGAGAAAAGGGGGGAGGGATGGAGATATATAGGAGCACAGTTTCTGTATACTATTGAACCCAAGTTGGTTTTAATTCAAACCAGGCTATCTTTTTGCTGTCTTTTTAATTTTGGGGAGAGAGAGCACGCTAGTGGGGGAGAAGGGTAGAGGGAGAAAGAGAGAGAATCCTAAGCCGGCTCCACGCTCAGTGTGGAGTCTGACACATGGCTTGATCCCAGAACCCAGGGACTGTGACCTGAGGCAAAATCAAAAGTCAGAGACTCGACCAAGTGAGCCACCCAGGCACCCAAACCTGGCTGTTTTAAGTTTAAGATGCTAATTGTAATCGTAAAGGTGATAACAAAACAAATTTTTTTTAATATATAAAAGTTAATGGAAAGGAAATAAAAATGGTTTATTCAAAAAAAATCAACTAAACACAAAAGAAGACAGTAATGGAGAAACTGAGGAACAAAAAAAGAAGACATAATAGCAAATGGCAGATGTTCATCATTAGCGGTAACTGCTTCAACTCTCCAAATAAGAGATTGGCAGAATGCATTAAAAAAACCAGAAACCCAAAACCACCATGATCCATCCATATTTTGTCTAGAAGAAATTCACCTTGTTTTTTTAAATGTTTATTTTTGTGTGTGAGAGAGAAGGAGAGGGAGTGTGAGTGGGGAAGAGGCAGAGAGGGAGAAACAGAATCTGAAGCAGGTTCCAGGCTCTGAGCTGTCAAGCTGTCAGCACAGAGCCCAGCTTGGGGCTCGAACCCACAATTCTTGTGATCATGACCTGAGCCCAAGTCAGACGCTTAACTGAAACGCCAGGTACCCCAAGAAATTCACTTTAGATCCAAAGACACTAATAGGTTGAAATAAAAATGATGGAAAAAAGATTCTATGCAAATAGTAACCAAAAGAGAGCAGAAGAGGCTATATACTAATATCAGACAAAATACATAGAAGTCAAAAATTGTTATAAGAGGGAAGACTGGGTGGCTCAGTTGATTAAGCATATGACTTTGTCTCAGGTTGTGATTTCATGACTTGGGAGTTTAATCCGTGCATTAGGCTCTGTGCTGATAGCTCAGAGCCTGGAGCCTGCTTCAGATTCTGTCTCAGTCGCTCTCTGTCCCTCCCCCACCTCAAATATAAATAAACATTAAAAAATTGTTACAAGAAACATAGAAGGACATAATATATTATTAATGAGTCAATACATTAAAAAGGTAGAACATTTATAAATATATACACATCTAACAACAGAACCCCAAAATATCGAAGCAAACATTGACAGAATTGAAGGGGAAAATAAGATAGTTCTACAATAACAGTTGAAGACTTCAATACCCAATTTCAATATCTGATATAACTAGAAAGAAGATTAATGAAGAAATAGACACTACATGGGGCGCCTAGGTGGCTCAGTCGGTTGAGCATCTGACTTTGGCTCAGGTCATGATCTCACGATATGTGAGTTCAAGCCCTGGGCTGGGCTCTCTGCTGACAACTCAGAGCCTGGAGTAGGCTTCGGATTCTGTGCTTCCTTGTCTCTCTGCCCCTGCCCCATTTGTCCTCTGTCTCTCTAAATAAATGTAAAAAAAAAAAGAAAGAAAGAGACACTATAAACCAGTAAGATCTAAAAGACAAATATAGAATACTTCATACAATAATTGCACAATATTCTTTTAAACAAACACAAAACTAGGATAGACCATTTGTAATGTCACAAAGCAATTTTCTGTAAATTTAAAGCACTAAAATCATACAAAGTCCTTTCTCTGACTTCAAAGGAATGAAGCTAGAAATTAGTAATAGAAAAAAAATTGGAAAAGTAGCAAATATGTGGAAATCAAACAAAACACACTTAACTTATGGTTCAAAGAGGAAATCACAAGGGTAATTCGAAAATACTTTGAGATGAATTAAAACAAAAACGTATCATACTAAAACTCACCGGAGGCAGTGAAAGTGTTCAGAAGAAATTTATCGCTGTAAATGCCTATATGGAAAAAGCAGGAAGATCCCAAGCTAACAACTGAAATTACACCGTAAATAACTAGGAAAAAAAAAAAAAAGAACAAATTAAACCCAAGGCCTAGCAGAAGGAAATAATAATGATCAGAGCAGAGGTATATGAAATGGTGAATAGAAAAAGAATTAATGAAACCAAAAGTTGGTTTTTGAAAAGATGAGCAAAACTGACAAAATGTCAGACAAAGAAAAAAGAGGGGCTTAAATTACTAAAATCAGAAATCTAAGTGGGGACGTTATTATTGACATAGAAATTAAGGATTATGAAGAATCTGCAAACAATTGTACATCAATAAATTAGATAATCTAGATAAAATGGAGAAACTCCTAGAACACCCTAACTACCACCACTTGCTTAGGAAGAAATAGCAAAACTGAACAGATATTGATTTAGTAATCAAAAACTACCCAACAAAGAAAAGCAGCCCAGAATCACCCAGCTTCACTGGTGAGTTCTACTAAACGTCAAAGAAGTTCCTATGCCTGACACATAGGAACTACTCAATATTTTAAGGAATGGGCAGTGGAGAAACTCCTAGAACACTCTAACTACCACCACTTGCTTAGGAAGAAATAGCAAAACTGAACAGATATTGATTTAGTAATCAAAAACTACCCAACAAAGAAAAGCAGCCCAGAATCACCCAGCTTCACTGATGATTTCTACTAATCGTCAAAGAAGTTCCTATGCCTGACACATAGGACCTACTCAATATTTTAAGGAATGGGCAGTGGAGCACATGTGTAAGTTTTTGGACAGCTCCGCCTATTGTGGTTCATGTAATTCTTAGGACATGCAAATCACTGGTAATTTTCATATTTTTGGAAAGTAAATGTGCTGGTTTAAAAATGTGTAGGGGCGCCTCGTGGCTCAGTTGGTTAAGCATCTGACTTCCGCTCAGACTGTGATCTCAAGGTTCCTGAATCTGAGCCGCACTTGGGCTGTCTGCTGTCAGCACACAGCCGCTTTGGATCCTGTCTTTCTTTCTGCCCCTCCCCCGTTTGTGTGCGCTCTCTCAAATAGAAACAAACATATAAAAAATGTGCAATAAAAGCCTGTAGAATGCTTTGAAAACCATGAGACAGTTACATAAAAATCTTAATTATCATTATTTTCAAGAAGAGGGTAAAAATACAGGCGTGACAATATCATAGTATTACTCTGCTGTGATTATGGCAATGATTCAGGCTAGAATTCCCCTTTACTGTGTATTCAACATTATTGCTCAGGCATTCTAGAATGTAGTAGATGTGATAATCCCTTCGTTACTTAGAGTCACAGGTTTCCATAATATTTTGCTGCAATCCAAAGTACCAGCAATAGTTTTATTTTTATTAAAATAACATGTTTTTTTAAAAAGCTGTTCTTTTGGCATCCAATGTGGTTGATGAAAACTTCTCTACTGCAATGAAATTCTAGAAATCTGAGTTTGGGGACTGGTTTACCCCAGGTGAAGTGGGCTGGGGGGGTTTCTTGCTTTTGCCTGGAAACTAGGTACTTGAATCTCTTCAGTGTTCTCTCTAACCCGCTAGAGCCATCCTTTCTAGCCTGGATGATACCAGCATGGGGATCATCCCTCTGGCAGGCCTGCAATTCTGTCCTTTCTTGACAGAGAAGTCACTACTACCACTAAGACCAGCAATGAAGAATTTTCAACTCTCTGAACATCTTTCAAAGCCAGATCACCTGTGTTAAAATATTATTACCAAAGAACTTGAGAGTAATATGGTACCAATTTGTATTTTACAAAACCATTTGACATGACCTGGAGAGCTGGGCCTGGCAGACAAAGTGAGTTCATCAAGAGTAGAAGTCATGACAAGGATGAAAGCACCTTGATGGACATGTTATGGTAGAGATTTTGGTGACAGTTTTATGGGTGAATACTTATCTCCAAAACTCGAGGTATATACATTAAATATGTATAGCTTTTTGTATGTCAATCATAACAAAAAGTGGTGTTTTAAAAAGTGCAAACACCTGCTCGTTAAATTTTTACAAGGCGTTATGCTGTTTTTTATATATTGTTTAAAATTTAATCTTGATGACGATTCTATGAGGTAGGCATTGTTGTTACCATCCCCATTTTGCAGATGAGAAGTCGGAGTTTCTGAGAGGTAGAGTACTAAGACCCCAAAGCACTTTGTAAGTAAGTCCTCAAGGTATGATGTGATCCCAGGAATGCCTGATTTCAAAGCATGGGCTCTTAACTGTTTTATTATAGTGTCTTCCTGCGTCTTATGACGGCATAAAGGGCTGTATCAGAACGTGGCTGAACCCCCTGGATGGGAGCTCTCAGTCTAACTTTTCTCTACATCAATACCTGAAGATGCAACAAGATAGGAGCAGCTGACAAGGCTGAATCTTTCACCGTGGGGCAGAATAGAAGCTGGAAGTTCCTCCCTCTACTCCTTCCACTTTGTGATGGATTTTGAGGACACTTCAAGCTTAGTGGGCATTTTAGAATTACCTGGGCTACAGGTGAACACATAGGTATCAGAGCCTTAATTGAACAACCGATTAAGATCTTAGTGTGGTAAAAGACACACTCAACCAACAAGTAATCTGGTACTACATACCACACTGGAATAAAAATATAGCAATAAAATATAGCCACAAAATTAGAGATACTGTGACTATCTTAAAAAATACACATTGTAAGAGAAACAATGCAACCTTGGACATGCTTTTCAAGCCAAAGCACTGTTTTAAGGGAAGCGGGGAGTTTGGATCCTCATAAGGCATCTTAAATAGTTGTGTGATCTTGGAAGTCTTAGGATTTGGTTTCATCCATAATGGGGGAAAAAAAAAAAGCATATCCAAAACCTTGCTTTAGGGTAAGTCTATTTTTGAGGTCGGCAGCAAAACAATTTTGGAGGGCCAAATTTCTGCGAAACTTTTTTGAAATTATCTGTAACCAGTGGTAGTTTATTTCAGGGATTACGACCGGTTGTTATAAATGGCACTTCATTTGGTCTTTTTTTTTTTTTTTTTTTTAAACAAACTTCACTTGGCTTACTGGTATTTAATTAAACAGACATGAAGCCCAGGTAGTGTAGGCTTCGGGAAGTTGCGGTGGCGCATTGCTCTCCACCTGGGGCCCTCTGTGGTGGCCATAACCATTTTCTGAATTCTGCACGTTCAGTGTTTCAAATCAACACTGTTAACACCTACTGGACACACACAGCCAAACCATGTAGTAGCTGTACGGGAAATGACGAGCGATGACTATTTCTGGAGCGAATCCGCACCCGTTCACCTTCGCCTGGTGAGTGCCCGTGAGCAGTCATGCACGGCCAGACGGGAGAAGGGCCTCCCCCGCGCCCATCGCCTCGGGAAGCACTGGTCTGTAAGGTGTCCGCTCTGAATCGCTAGGTTCCCAGCGTTTCTCTGAACACGAGACCGACTTCGCGTCAAGCGGCTGTCCCAAGTTTCCAGGGCTGCACCGGGCGGGGAGGTGGGTTCCGTCCGCCCCGGAAGTTCTCTTTAGGAACGGCGTCGTTGGCTTTCTTTTTCTCCCTCCCGCCGCGCCGCCCGCCGGCTGCAACCACTAGCCCGTGGCCCAGGCGGAAGGCGCCTCTCAGCGACTCCCAGGTAACGTCCGTCCCTGAGAGACCGCTGGGAATGGTAGTTTGCGTGCGGTCCCCCGATGCCCGTGCGCAAGCGCCGAGGGGGCCGGCGGAAACTACACTTCCCAGGAGTCCTCGGCTCGGGGGCGGAGCCGGACCTGGGGGGGCGGGACTCCGACCGGAGGTGGTGGTTGTGGCGGCTCTTTCGTAAATGCAGCGACGATTGTCGCTGTGGCTTGAGTGAACAAAGAGGCCAGAGGGCGGCGGACCGGTGATTTGTGGGCAGAGGAGCGGGGGCGCTAGCGGGTGTGTCGCCCTGCGCCCGAGTGCTGGCGGTGCGGGGGAGGGACCCGCAGGGACCCGCCCCGGCCTCAGTTCTGGCTCCGCGGGGCGCCGAGGAGCCGGCCGCCCGCCGGCCGCGCGGCGCTGGCTACACCGGCCTTGCGGCCGCCGCAGCTTAACGCGGTTTTGCGGGGAGCCTGCTTTTCAGGGACTCTCGCCGCCTGTGGTTTTGGCTGTACGTCAGACAGCGTTCAGAAGCGCGGGGACACGGTCGGCCCGAGAAGAGACGTTGCTTTCCGGCCTCAGGTAGGCCCATCGTCGCCCTAGCCCTTGCTGTCTCTCCAGGCTTTGCTGTGGAGTCGTGGCGTCGAAGGACGTGTGTTTTGGGAGACTGTTAAGTCACCTCCCAGACCAGCTGTTGTACGGTCTGAGGGTGACTTTGAGTTAACTGTTTGTATCCACTTTTCCCCTCAGAATGCAGACAGTTTATCCCCCCAAAACTGCTTTAGGAATGTTTACATAGCACTCTGGAGGTTTCGAGGCTGTCAGTTTGTTTCAGACAGATTTTGATCGCCAGGAAATGAGTCCACATACTAATCCTTTCTAGACATTTTGCTGTATTATATATATGTTCCCTGTAGCCAGGCCGTCCTAGCGATAATAAATAACAGATTAAAGTGAAACTGTATTTCTCTTCGTGCTGACAGTAAATATACTTTGAAGATCCTAGTCATGAAGTTGAAATGAAGGAACACAGGTGTTTAAGGCGGGAGGATGTAGACGTCAAGGGCGCCGGCACTAGGGGATTGGACTTGTCAGTCTAGTAGGGAACTTGGCTAGTTTCCCATGTTACAGAATCACCTTGTAGCTTGTCTCCTTGCCTGCTAAAGTCACTTGAATTTAACAAACATCACCTGATTTTGACGAAAACTTTTTTAAATTTTGATGAAAAGTTGTTCCTTTTTCAATAGGCTTTCATCCGAAAAATAATTAGAATTGGTCCGCTTAGAACAGATTTTTAAAAATTATTCAGGAATAACATATTAAGTCATCTTCCCTAATCTTTTTTTTAAATGTTTAAATATTTATTTTTTTAAAATATTTTTACTTATTTCTAGGAGAGAGAGAGAGACAGCGTGAGCAGGGGAGGGTCAGAGTGAGGGAGACACAGACTCTGAAACAGGCTCCAGGCTCTGAGCTGTCAGTCAGCACAGAGCCCGACGCGGGGCTCGAACCCACGAACCGCAAGATCATGACCTAAGCGAAAGTCGGTCGCTTAACCGACTAAGCCACCCAGGCGCCCCTGTTTTTTATTTATTTCTGAGAGAGAGAGGGGGGCAACGTGAGCCGGGGAAGGTCAGAGAGGGAGGGAGACACAGACTCTGAAACAGGCTCCAGGCTCTGAGCTGTCAGCACAGAGCCCGACGCGGGGCTCGAACCCACGAAATGTGAGATCATGGCCTGAGCCAAAGTCGGACGCTTAACTGACTGAGCCACCCAGGTGCCCCCAGTCACTCACTCCCCTCTTAATAGACATTTAAGTTAGTCTCAGTTTATTACAAATGTGAACTTACACCAATATAGCACACAATGCTTAGATGTGAAATTGCTAAGTCAAAGTTTCTGTGTATTTACTGTTTGGATAGATAGTGTCATATTGCTCTTCAAAAGGTTTTACCGGTTTACGTTCCCAACTGATGCTTTATGGAAGAGTTCTTCTTTTCCACTCTGGGGTTCCACACACTAAAAACTATCAATTTTTAGTTTTTGCTAACCTGGTATGTGAAAAATGGTATGTCATTACTGTTTTAATATCTTTTCCACTTGAGTATGAGTATACTTCAATATCTGTGCATCTGTATTTTTTTTTTGCTAGTATCTTTCGTTTTCAGACACTGGGTACAAAGCTAAATAAATACATGTGTGTCTCCAAATTGCCATTTTTTAATTTCCCTTCGTGTTATATTGATAAAGTTAAAATCTAGAATTGTGTCTGAAAAATAGTGTGGACTGTCATTCCACTTTGGTACTAGATTTTCTCACCTCTCACTTCAGAGACATGGCTATTGCAATTCTCTCCTCTCTCCATCCTCATGAGCCTACAGGCATGCTTTTATTTCCCTGTCTTAAAAAAATCATTCTTCCCCGTGCTTCCCTGTGCAGCTCCTGTTCCATTTATTTCCTTCCCCTTAAAACAAAACTCCTGGAAAGAGGTAGCTCTCCTCAGCTTCTCATTCTTTCATGTATTCCCTCCATTTATGCTTTGGCAGCCTCCCTCTCCCCTCAAGATGCTCTCATTGCAGTTATTATGACCTTTCCTTTGCTCAATTCCAAGACCAGTTCTCAGTTCTCACCCTTCGTCTGTTAACAGCACTTAACACATCTCTTTCTTCTTTGAAGCACTGTGTCTTCACTTGGTCTCCAGGAGACTATACTTTCTACATCTTCTCTTTTTTGTCTACCTTCAGTCACTTAGTGATCTCACCCGGTGTTACGGCCTTAAATAACATCTGTATGCTGATTTTATCAGCAGGGAACTTAGGTTTTTGATTCACTCAATTTGGATATTTTTAAGACTTAAAAACAAACAGACATGTAACTTAATCCCCAGTTGCTTTGCTGATTGAAGTCTTTTGTATTTGAAATATCCAGTAGATTTTTGTGCTGGCTCGTGGTTTGGGTTGAACAGCTTTAACTGACGCTCTTTTTTGGCATCTTCTTTCTACAGGCATTGGAAATTAATAGCAGTTCCAGCTTTTACATTATTTAAAATTATTAGTGGCATTGGACTAAAATGTTCCTGATGCCAACCTCTTCAGAGTTAAACGGTGGGCAGAGCTTCCTAACCCAGTGGCTGACCAATCCTTCTCGGGCTGGGGTCATATTAAATCGTGGATTTCCTATTTTGGAAGCAGACAAAGAGCAGCGAGCAAATGTGAACATTTCTACCAGCTTTCCTGTTAAAGCCACACATTTTTCAAATAGCTTCAGCTTTATAAGTGAAGAAGATTCACTTCATGAAGAACAGAAGTTGGAGTCTAACAGCCCTTATAAACTACAATCAAATAAATCTGAAACACATACAGTGTTTCCTTTAACTAAAGAGGGACCACAAATAGTGGCATGTCAGGGTGCTCCTGGACACTGGGAAGATCACAAAAGTGACGTCTCAGATCTTTCGAGTGAATGCAAAGAAGTGCCTTATAAAGACCCACTGTTTAAAAAGCTTGAACAGGTACAACAGGATTTGGCCTAATATTTGCATTATTGCAAATGTCTGTTGATGATGAAAGTCACCTGTTCCAGGCCTCTTGTTTCTTCCCCTTTAGTGTGAAATCCTCAAAATACCGAATTTTGCCTTTTATCTAATGTGAAACATGAACACATGTTTGATATGTAAGATATAACACCTGAGGTAACAGTGTCTTTTAAATTTGTTTCATTTGGTAAAAACTAAATTGGAAGTGGTTGATCAGATCGTAAATGTACTGATATCTACCCTATTTAAAGAATCCACAGATTCATTTGACTTTTTCTGTTTCTTTCTGTGTTTCCTTCATTAAAAATAGGATTTTAGAGTTTTGGTGGCAGAGGTAGTTACCTGGGGATCTCTCTTTAAAACTCTGTTAGAGATGGGAGCAAAGGGAGATGAGACGGGTTAAGAAACGGAAGGAGCAAAGATCCATAAAGAAATGTGTAGTTGGTTTAATCAAGTTTTATGTTTAAAAAGCTGAAAGAAGTACAACAGAAGAAGCAGGAGGAGCTGAAGCGGCAGCAGTTGGAGCAACTGCAGAGACTCCTGGAGGAACAAGAGAAGCTGCTCGCGGCGGCGTCCGGGCGGCACCCGCTCCCAGGTATTTGTGCTTGAGCCCTCAGTTCGACTGTGCACAGGGACATTTCTCACCTTCAGCTGTATGACAGCTATTTCTACCATTGTTCTGTCATATGTGGTGAACCGCCGTTTCTTTAGGGGCTTGCAGGGAACTAGGAAATGGTGGGGGCGGTATATGACGGGGACGGGGGAGCTGTGCACTTCTGGAGCATGTGTGACTTGCTTAACAGCAGTCATATGTATTTATTAAATACAAGTTTCAAGATTTTTTTTAATGTTTGTTTATTTGACAGAGAGAGAGAGAGCGAATGAGCATGAGTGGGGGAGGGGGAAGGCAGAGAGAGAGAGAGAGAGGGACAGTCCTGTGTGGGGCTCGACCTTACAAATCATGAAATGGTGACCTGAGCCAAAGTCAGGCTCTTAACCAATTGATCCACTCAGGTGCCCCTATAAAATAATACTTTTTTTTTTTTTTTTAAATAGCTTATTGTCAAGTTGTTTCCATATAACACCCAGTGCTCGTCCCCACGAGTGCCCTCCTCCATGCCCATCACCCCCCTTCCCTTCTCCCCCCATTCCCATCAGCCCTCAGTTTGTTCTCAGCATTCAAGAGTCTCTCATGGTTTGCCTCCCCCCCCTCCCCTGCATTTTCCCCCTTCTCCCCAGGGCCCTCCGTTAACTTCCTCCTAATCCTCCTATATGTGCAACATATGGTAGCTGTCCTCCTCTGCCTGACTTATTTCGCTCAGCATAACACCCTTAAGGTCCATCCATGTTGCTCCACATGGCCAGATTTCATTGTTTCTCATTGCCATGTAGTATTCCTAGTATTCCATGGTATAGATAAACCACATCTTCTTGATCCATTCGTCCGTTGATAGACACTTAGGCTCTTTCCATGTTTTGGCTGTTGTTGAGAGTGCTGCTATGAACATTGGGGTACATGTGCCCCTATGCATCAGCACTCCTGTGTCCCTTGGGTAAATTCCTAGCCGTGCTATTGCTGGGTCCTAGGGGAGTTCTATTGTTCATTTTTTGAAGAACTTCCACACTGTTTTCCAGGGGGGCTGCACCAGTTTACATTTCCACCAACAGTGTAGGAGGGTGCCCGTGTCTCCACATCCTCGCCAGCATCTAGAGTCCTTGGATTTGTTCATTTTAGCCTCTCTGACTGGCGTGAGGTGGTATCTCAGTGTGGTTTTGATTTGTATTTCCCAGATGAGGAGGGATGCTGAGCATCGTTTCATGTGTCTGTTGGCCATCTGGATGTCCTCTTTGGAGAAGTGTCTGTTCATGTCTTCTGCCCATTTCTTCACTGGATTGTTTGTTGTTCAGGTGTGGAGTTTGGGGAGTTCCTTATAGATTTTGGATTCTAGCCCTTCATCTGATATGTTGTTTGCAACTATCTTTACCCATTCCGTTGGTTGCCTATTAGTTTTATGGATTGTTTCCTTTGCCGTGCAGAAGCTTTTAATCTTGATGAGGTCCCAATAGGTCATTTTTGCTCTTGATTCCTTTGCTTTTGGGGATGTGTCAAGTAAGAAATTGCTGCGGTGGAGGTCAAGGAGGTTGTTTCCTGCTTTCTCCTCTAGGGTTTTGATAGTTTCCTGTCTCACGTTCAGGTCCTTTATCCATTTTGAGTTTATTTTTGTATATGGTGTGGGAAAATGATCTAGTTTCCATTCTTCTGCATGTTGCTGTCCAGTCCAGCACCATCTGTTAAAGACGCTGTCTTTTTTCCATTGGATAGTCTTTCCTGCTTTGTCAAAGATTAGTTGGCTCTATACTTTTGGGTCCATTTCTGAGTTCTCTATTCTATTCCATTGGTCTGTGTGTCTGTTTTTGTGCCAGTACCATACTCGATGAGGACAGCTTTGTAGTAGAGGCTAAAGTCTGGGATGGTGATGCTTCCCGTTTTGGTTTTCTTCTTCAATATTACTTTGGCTATTCGGGGTCTTTTGTGGTTCCATACAAATTTTAGGATAGTTTGTTCTAGTTTTGAGAAGTATGCTGCTGCATTTTGATTGGGATTGCCTTGAATGGGTAGATGGCTTTGGGTAGTAATGACATTTTGACTATATTTATTCTTCCGATCCATGAGCATGGAATGTTTTTCCATTTTTTTGTGTCTTCTTCAATTTCCTTCATAAGTTTTCTATAGTTTTCATCATACAGATCTCCTATATCTTTGGTTAGGTTTATTCCTAGCTATTTTATGGTTTTTTGTGCAATTGTGAATGGGATCAGATTCTTTTTTTTTTTTTTTAATTTTTTTTAATGTTTTTATTTATTTTTAGGAGAGAGAGAGAGAGACAGCGTGAGCAGGGGAGAGGGAGACACAGAATTGGAAACAGGCTCCCAGGCTCTGAGCTGTCAGCACAGAGCCCAACGCGGGGCTCGAACCCACGATCCACGAGATCATGACCTAAGCAAAAGTCGGACGCTTAACCGACTAAGCCACCCAGGCGCCCCGAATGGGATCAGTTTCTTGATTTCTCTTTCTGTTGCTTCATTATTGGTGTATAAAAATGAAACCGATTTCTGTACGTTGATTTTATACCCTGCAACTTGGTTGAATTCTTGGATAAGTTCTAGTAGGCTTCTGGTTGAGTCTGTCGGGTTTTCTATGTAGAGTATCATGTCGTCTGCAAAAAGTGAAAGTTTGACTTCTTTCTTGCCAATTCTGATGCCTTTTGTTTCCTTTTGTTGTCTGATGGCTGATGCTAGGACTTCCAGCACTATGTTAAACATCACCAGTGAGAGTGGACATCCCTGTCGTGTTCCTGATCTCAGGGGAAAGCTCTCAGTTTTTCCTCGTTGAGGATGATGTTAGCTGAGGGCTTCTCATTGATGGCTTTTATGATGTTTAAATAAGTTCCTTCTATCCCGACTTACCCAAGGGTCTTTATTAAGAAGGGATGCTGTATTTTGTCAAATATTTTTTTGCATCTATTGACAGGATCGTATGGTTTTTATCTTTTCTTTTGTTGATGTGATATATCACATTGATTGACTTGCGAATATTGAACCAGCTCTGTAACCCAGGAATGAATCCCACTTGATCTTGGTGGATAATTCTTTTTATGTGCTGTTGAATTCGATTTGCAAGTGTCTTGTTGAGGACTTTTGCATCTGTATTCATCAAGGATATTGGCCTGTAATTCTCTTTTTTTGCTGGGTCTCTGTCTGGCTTGGGAATCAAAGTGATGCTGGTTTCATAAAATGAGTCCAGAAGTTTTCCTTCGATTTCTGTTTTTTGGAATAGTTTGAGAAGAATGGGTATTAATTCTGTTTTAAACGTCTGGTAGAATTCTCCAGGGAATCCATCAGGTCCAGGGCTCTTAATTTGTTGGGATACTTTTGATAACTGATTCGATTTCCTCACTTGTTATGGGTCTGTTCAGGTTTTCTATCTCTTCCCGTGTGAATTTTGGTAGTGAGTGTGTGTTTTGGAATTTGTCCATTTCTTCTAAGTTGTCCAGTTTGTTGGCATATAGTTTTTCATAGTGTTCCCTGATAATTGCTTGTATATCTGAGGGGTTGGTTGTAATCAGTCCATTTTCATTTATGATTTTGTCTATTTGAGTGCTCTCTCTTTTCTTTTTGAGAAGCCTGGCTAGAGGTTTGTCAGTTTTGTTTATTTTTTCTAAAAACCAATTCTTGGTTTCATTGATCTGTTCAACTATTTCTTTGGTTTCTATGTTGTTTATTTCTGCCCTGATTTTTGTCATTTCTCTTCTTCTACTGGATTGAGGTGCTCTTGTTGCTCTCCCTCTAGTTGCTTTAGGTGCGCTGTTAGATTTTGTATTTTCATTTTTTTTAATTTCTTGTAATAGGCCTGGAGTGCAATTTACTTTCCTCTTTGTATTTTTTTTGTTGCATCCCATAGAGTTTGGATTGTTGTATTTTCATTTTCATTTGTTTCCATATATTTTTAAATTTCTTCTCTAATTGCCTGATTGGCCCATTCATTTTTTAGTAGGGTGTTTTTTAACCTCCATGTTTTTTGTGGTTTTCCAGACTTTTTCCTGTGATTGATTTCGAGTTTCATAGCATTGTGATCTGAAAGTGTGCATGGTATGATCTCAGTTCTTTTATTATTTATTGAGGGCTGCTTTCTGACCCAGTATGTGATCTATCTTGGAGAAATGTGCGATGCATGGGGCGCCTGGGTGGCTTAGTCGTTTAAGCGTCTGACTTTCGCTTAGGTCATGATCTCGCGGTTTGTGGGTTCGAGCCCCGCGACGGGCTCGATGCTGACTGCCAGCTCAGAGCTTGGAGCCTGATTCAGTCTGTGACTCCCTCTCTCTCTGACCCTCCCCTGCTCACACTGTCTCTCTCTCTCTCTCTCTCCTAGAAATAAATAAAACAGTAAAAAAAAAAAAAGAAATGTGCGATGCACACTTGACAAGAAAGTGAATTCCATGGCCTCAGGATGTATAGTTCTAAATATATCTGTCAAATCCATCTGGTCCAATATATCATTTAAGTCCATTGTGTCTTTATTGATTTTCTGTCCGGTTGATCTGTCCATTGCTGTATGTGGAGTTTAAAGTCCCCAGCTATTAGCACGTTCTTATTGATAAGAGTGTTTCTGTTTGTGATTGTTTTATCTATTTAGGTGCTCTCATATTTGGTGTGTAGACATTTATAATTGTTAGCTCTTCCTGATTGATAGACCCTGTAATTATTATATAATGCCCTTCTTCATTACTGTCTTTAGTTTAAAGTCCAGTTTGTCTGATATAAGTATAGCTATTCCAGCTTTCTTTTGACTTCCAGTAGCATGATACACATTTCTCCATCCCCTTCCTTTCAATCTGAAGGTGTCCTCCAGTCTAAAATGAGTTTCTTATAGACAGAAAATAGATGGATTTTGTTTTTTGATCCATTCTGCTACCCTTTGTCTTTTGATTGGGGCATTTAGTCCATTTACATTCAGTGTTATTATTGAAATATATGGGTTTAGGAGTCATTGTGTCGTTTGTGGGATTCATGCTTGTGCTGGTGTCTCTAGCATCT